ATAATCATGGGACAACATTAGTTCCAGTGGACTTCATATGATAAGTATGGTCGCCTAAGAGCCCTTTAATGCCAATTTCTTGAACCAATTGTTGGATATTTACTCATGGGAACACATGATTGTTCCATTGTTCTTCCCATGATTTTCCCAGATGGAGGTTTCCTAAAAAGTAGGGATACCCTCAATCATCCATGTCAATAGGAATTTCCATTACCAACTATCCAGCTATCGGGGTACCCTCCATCATGGAAACCTCCATAGGAATAGAACCAAGGTCTTGCGGCCGTCTCCAGTAGAGGCGCTGATGGCCCTGATGAACTCCATGGGAAGATCAAGAAAACTGGTGAGACTTTATGAGATTTAGATGCAGTGAAATCTACAATGATATTATTCATTGTTTTTATGGGATTTTGTTTGATTTTTCGTGAAATTTGATGAAATGACTCGTGGGATTCTGATTTTGGGATTCATGGATTTAACCAAAAAACATGGGAATATACATGGATGTACTTAGAAAATGCTGGGAAGATGATGGGAGAATCTAACCATCCGTAACTTTTTTTCAGTGGTGAATGGTCAGCCATGGGAAGTCGAGCAAATGCTGGATGCTGGGATTGGGTCATGGATTAGTCACTAGTAGAAAAGTCACATACCATGCCACTTTTACCTCCATCATGTATATGATTATGACGGTTCAGCTGATATATATATATATATATACTGGTTGGTGGTTTCAAACATGTTTTATTTTCCATTTCATATATGGGATGTCATCCTTTTCCAAGCCGGTTAAAACCACCAATCAGTATATATATATATATGCATGTATATACATTATATACCGTTTGGTTATTTAACATAGCCATGGAAAATGGCCCATTTATAGATGATTTTCCCATTAAAACCTCCATTTATGGTTGGGATTTTCCATGGCAAACTGTTAGTCATAACCAGATGGTAATGTTTGTCATGGATCCCAATGCCATAACCTGGCAATTTGGGATAGTTTATGATGGCTGGATAGCATGTCTATGGTATCCACTTCTGCTGGTATGTCGCGTTTTCTTTTCTCCTTTGATGTGCTGGATATAATGTGGGTAAAACAATGCCATAAACAATCCCCCAGGAAAATCACCATAAATAGGTCGTATAAACCATTCCCAAATGGGTGGTTACTATTGGCTTAATCACAATGATTGCCAAGATAATGGAGTGTCCTTTCGGAATCTAACTTGGCAGTGAACGATTGCGGCGGAAAACATCACCCATAAATATTCAATGGATGGGTAGATTTTGCAGTGCCATGTTTGATTACCAGAGAGTTATTTTAAGATAGTCACACAGGGTCACAGGGAAGAATATTCTCTACAATCCGCTTGGACGAAAACACGCATTATTTGCGGATGTGCCTACATCATCCTACATGTATATACGTATATATATATATAGATATAGATATAGATTTACGTATCATGCTTAGCTGCTTGCCTTGAAGCGGTATCAAAGATTTGCGGATCGGGTCATGTTAGAACAGCTAAGTTGGCCACGCCAGCGCAGCGCCAGGTGAAGTCGCCTCCCAGGCCATTTTCACTTGGCTTCTGGATCAGGCCGGGTTCCCATTCCAGAAAAATCAGAAGTCGATGGTCAACATGTTAGAGTTTAAACCCCTCCAGTATGGTTTATCAAGTTTATCCCAAAAAGATCCCATTTATCGTGGTTTATCCATGTTTATCCCATTTCATGTTTTTTGGATGGCACAGGTGGGCTCCTGCGCAGGTCCACTTGCTTGCGGACGACAAGGGTCGAGGCCTGGCAAAGAAACATGTGGTGAAACTGCACCGCGGCAGCACCTGGAGTTTGCCGGGTTTCCATAAATGCGGGTACCCCAAGGTGTCATCCATTTCAATAGGATTTTCCACTACTGTATAAACCATCCTTTTGGGGATCCATTTATGGAAACCCCCATAGTTCCCATGTGTCTTGGTGGACAAATGATGGGATGACTGGGGGCTGATCGTTTCTCAGATTTTTGTTAGGGACGAATGTAGGGATCGAATCTGGGGATAGAAACAACGCAGAGATGGGTGGTGGGCCCTCAAACGTTTTGTTTGCTGGTCTTTTGATGAGGGCCCTGGTTGAATCATGTGTTTGGCATTGGTTTACTTTTTTTTTACAGATGTTGAAACCACCAGCCATGAGGAGTGAAAATTGAAACATGGTTTACCCACATTAACGGTGCAATTTATTATTTTGGGGCTTCCCAATTGTTTGACAGACCCATATCATCCCATATCATGTCAAGTTGGGTGTTCTTGGTCTTCCCCATTGTATTCCGAGTCGTGTTTTTTTGGGTTATCAATGTTATATACCCGCATCAAATACCATAAAAATGTCCGATATGTTCAACCCAGAAAAAGAACATATTTACTTGGTGAAATCCTGGGAGTTTCCACCTATTCCTCCAAATATCCTATCTTTATCCATAGTTTATCCTCTGGTAATTTATATAACATAGCTATTGAAAGTTCTTTCATAGAAATAGTTGAGTTTACCCATTAAGAATGGTGATGTTCTATAGCAAACTGTTAAATTTCCAGAGGGTAAACCTCCATTTTCCTATGGTTTTCCCATGGTTTTCCTATGGTTTTCCCATTAAAACCTCCATCTTCCTATGGTTTTTCCATGAAAAGATGGTGATTTTCCAGTGGGGTGAAATCGTGGGGTTTTCCACCAGGTACACGTCGCCCAAATTCTGCGACCTCGACATGGACGTGGCAAAGGAACACGCCAAGGTCGATTCGAATGGCGGAGGACTCAAACACTACGAAAAGCTATACCCTTTGGTAATTTAACATGGTTTAATATAGTTTAATATGGTTTAGTATGGTTTTATATGGTTTAATTTGGTTTAGTTTGGTTTTATATGGTTTATATAATATGCATGGTTTCAATAATGGGATATTAATGGAAATACCCTCTGGTTATGTCAAAACAGCTATTGAGGCCATGGCCCATGTAGTTCGTTGATTGACCGTTCTTAAAGATGGTGATTTTCTATAGCAAACTGTTAGTTTACCAGAGGGTAAATGATGTGAATAATAGTATGTTGATATTATCACAATTCATGTTTATAGTATTTTAATGTATTTTATCGTGCGTCACTAGCAATAACATGATATATGACACGTTGTTTTTCATAATATGTGACATATTGTTTTTTGTATGTGTCAGTATTGGTACTAATAAGTGTCATAATAGGGAGAACATAATAATAACTACTATAGGTAACTTTGGGCTATAAATAATATAGTTAATCAAGTCAATTAACACATGTTTATTTTGAACGGACTGGTAGTTCAATCCTTTAGTTGTTCTTCTATAAATTGAAATTAACCATCACCAGCAAAAGACTTTTTTAATGTGGACTAATGTCCCAAGATTGACCATGGTTATTGTCAACAAGGTATGAAAGCACATGACAGCCATGAACATCACATCAAATCAGATATTGTTACAGGTACATATTGTTCATGTTCTTTTCATCCATAGCCATAGCTATGGAAAATCCGTGAAGCTCCCATATTTATAGATGATTAATTATGTTTTGCCTATTAGAAATGGTGATTTTCCATGTTAAAGAACTAGAGGGCAACATACCCCTGACAATGACTATAAATGGCAAATTTTCCCACAGATAATCCACAATTCGCCTAAGACCTAGGGGTAACATGAGTCGGCATGTTCACTTAAAGGGGTACCTCACACTTTGGAATATCTAAGCTTTGCCATGCCTGGCAGGTCTTGCCTGGAGCGATTCAAGACTGCTGAGCTGCAAAAAAACACCTGATACTTTGGGGAAGCCAATTTTATGGATTTATATATATATATATAGTTGAGTTTTTTCAAGCTGTTTTTGTACATGGAATATGTTTGTGGTAACCAGTTATTTTGCACGGTGCGTCAGATTGGATATGGCCTGCAATGACTTGGGGCTCCTGGTTTGCAGGGGCCTCCCCTGACTTGGAAAGTTTGGAAACTTAAAGTTGAACTTGATATTTTTTGGTAGAACCATTGATTAATGAAGATATGTAACACATCTAAACTTTTGTTCCTCAAAATTAACTTGATGTACGTGCAATGTACCTCACAGAAAGGCCAAAGATTTGCCAAAAAGACGCCGGTTTCCGCGTTGAAAACGGGCTCGACGGGGCGGGTCAACCGACTGGATGAGCCAATATGGTTTGACCATCTTACATTGGCTTTAATACAGAATTGGGGGATTTCATCAGAAACAATGGGAAAAGTTTGAGAAAACCCACTGGATGGCTAGTTTAGGACTTTAGCCTGTTGCAATCAATGGGTGTTTCCTGCAATCCATGGCAAACTGTTAAATAACCAAATGGTAGATATGATCATGTCCATCTTAGGAGGTGAGACCCCGAGTCTGTCAACAGGTTGCGTTTGCGTCCACTTTTTTTCGCTATCGATTTGTGGCCTCACCAATATTATCTTGTTAAGTAGTCCATGATATTCCATTGTTAACAAGATTAATATTAATGTTATACAGTTATATGTCATTATACCATTTTATGTGCCATTTATTCATCTTGTCATTTCTTGCAGTATGTATCAATATGTAATGTTCGTTCCATTCAACTCATTATTCATGCTGTGCAGCATTCATATTAAATTAATATCTATATTCATCTTACCCAGGTATATTCCATCAACAATCCATGTATTATGGTCATTTAATGTCTACAATATTAAGTTGGTATTCCAAGGTTCCATTCAATATTCCACGTTTATTCCATGTATTATTTGAAAGGTTGATTCCCATTCAGCTAATATTAGAAATAAAAATAGTTGATAAAGAAATTTCCATTCAGCTACTCTCTATCAGCTATTTCTTTTCATATAGAAATACATCCAGTTGATGTACTTCGCAATCAGCCCTGACTCGCCGTCCGACCACCGTGACTCGCCGTGACTCGCCGGAGGCTTGGTGACCGCGTGCACGGCTGGGACACCGAGACCAGCGAGGCGATCACTGGAGAATGATGGTGTTTTTGTATCGGGGAATCATGGCCATCTTCGGCCCAACTGGCTGATGATTTTGGAGGTTAAAGTTTTTGTTTGTGAATTACATTGAATTATACATATATATATATATATTTATTTATATATATATATATACTGTAATTCTTCCAGATGGATGAAGGATTTCTATGCAAGATTCGGTGGCGTTTTTTTCCAATATTTGGTGGTTAATGTCCACCTATGATTTAACAATAGGGCCCCCCCCCCCTCTCTCTGACCCTAAATAGACTTAAGGCCACCATAAAACTTGTTTGTATGTAAAGGTTTTAAATTACCACAATTGAAAACAAATACATAAAATGCAATTTCAAAAAAAAGGAATCCAGCAATTGTTTTAGTATTGATCTAGCACTCATGTCATGTATTTAGTATTGATTTAGTATTCATGTCATGGATTTAGTATTGATTTAGTATTCATGTCATGGATTCAGTATTGATTTAGTATTCATGTCATGAATTTAGTATTGATTTAGTATTCATGTCATGGATTGAGTATTGATCTCGTATTCATGTCATGGATTCAGTATTGATCTAGTATTCACATCATGAATTTAGTATTGATTTAGTATTCATGTCATGGATTTAGTATTGATCTCGTATTCATGTCATGGATTTAGTATTGATTTAGTATACATGTCATGGATCTGGGCAAATCTGGGTTTAGGGCCAAAAACAATTAGCTTTATTCAGGGTCAAACTCTAATTAGTGCCAAGGCACCTCATAGGGGGTACCCTTGACGAGTTGATTTGGGATTGTTTTTGGATAATTTTGAATAAAGGTTTTGACTAGAAAAGAGCAACCATTATTTTTGAAAATTTGAAGTTATCAAGGTAAGATCTAATGAGCTGGCAATATGAATTAGTACATGAAAGCCACCTCAAATAAAGCATGGATTTTTTTTTCAGCCCCATCTGGGCAAATCTTTTAGGGCCAAAAAATTTTAGCTTTATTTAGGGGGCATTTATTATTTATTTTGGGAAAAATTTAGCTTTATTCAGGGGGCATTGACAAATCATAGGTCAACATTAAGTACCAATCCATTCGCGGGGATGTGTTTTTTTCATTTAACTGACCAATATTTTAAAATTTGAATTTTATCTAGGCGGTCCAAACAAAAAGTAATATAAATCGTTGGTCCATTTATCAAACATGTGGATGATATAACCCATTGGATAAGGATCTAACGATCCAACTCTGGGTGATTCCCCAAAAATTGGGGAATAATTTCCCAACACGTGTTTTTTTTTTGGAGCATCTTAGATTAAATTTGCTGATGATTTGTACTCGATGAGTATCGAAGCACTTTTGGTTGACCCGGATGGAATGTTTAAGCCCGCACTAAAGCTTAAACAAAACCTTAAGGGTGGATATATCTTAGTACCACGAAATTCCGTTGCTTTGATTGGGATATGAAAAATCTCCAGAAAGATAGACATTAATTTACTAAGCTAACTAGCTGAAAATAAACCTGGTATAGTATTTGAAATTGGCAATGAGAACTATCAAAAATTACAATGCCACGCCTCTGTTTCAAACTATAAGTGCCTAACATACTGTGGATGGAAGAAATCCTGCACCACCTTGGATGGTTGAAACCCTATAAATGGGATATTTACTACCTATCAACTGGTGCAGCATTTCGCAACCATCCACGGTATTTCCTTAGTTACCCTCTGGTTATGTCAAAATCGCTATTGAAACCATGGCCCATTTAGTTCTTGATTTACCGTTCTTAAAGATGGTGATTTCCATAGCAATGTTAAATTACCAGAGGGTAAACCTAATCACCTAATCCAACTTTTGATATGTTTGATTGTTGTTGCATATCGTACCCCATGATATCCCATGAACATCTCTGTAATTACAATAAGTGCCTAACATACCTTCTGGTAAACTCAGAGTTCGCTATGGAACATCATTATTTGAATAGGTAAATCACCTGTTACTTTGGTCCATTTTCCATAGCTTTTTGCTCGTTTACCAGAGGGTATATCCATTAATATCCCAGTATTTTCCCATGATCATCCCTACAAGACAATATTATACTTCATTAAAATGGGATTAAACATTATTCATCCCATATCATTATTAGACATCATTAAAACATGTCTAAGATGAATATGTTGCTTTCCAAGCTGCCACAGGTGAACTTGGGTCGCGCTCTTAGCCGACGTTTAAAAAAAGAAAGTGGGAGGACATGGGCATCCACCGCGTCGTGTTGTTAAAGAAACCATTAAGAATGGGAGTTACCCTCTGGTAAATTAACAGTTGGACCCTGATAATAGGCTAGTTTGAATGGAAACTAATCTTCCAACCCCTATCTGGCAGGGTCTATGTTAATTTACTGGAGGGCATATATATATTAACTATATGTGTATAAACACGCATATATATATATGTATCCATATTACACATTTTAATAGTTGTATCTACTTGGATTGAAAACAGATTGACAAAAAATGTAAACCGCCGATCCACGGGGACTGGATGGGGGCCCCCTCTTATCGAGCTCGCGTGCCTGATGTTGCCTGAAAAGAGTTGCTGAATTCTATGGTTTATGGTAGATATACCCTCTGGTTATTTAACATAGCTATGGAAATTGCATCATTTCTAGATGATTTATGAGGATTTACCTGTTAAAAAATGTGATTTCCCATAGCTACGTTAAATAACCACAGGGTAACTATAGTTAATGGAGGTTACAATGGTTTATGAAGCAACTTATAACTAGGCCCCATCCTGTATCATGCCTGTATATAATGTATGGCACCATTTTCGTTGCCTCTACGTGACATGTTCTGCTTCCTCTCTATGTTCTTAGGTGAGTACATGCCCAATTTTCCTTTGCATATTTTGTTGATGCCCCTCTACACACCCATGAGTTCCCATTGTATCACCACTATTTCATAGTAGTTTTTCCCACTGAACATGTCCAACTATGTTCCCATACCAGTTACGATTTGATACCCAAATGTTCTCATAATATCATCATTTACTACATAGGACTCATACCATATATCATATCATATCATACTAGTATCATTTCATATCATCATATCATCATATCAAATTCATATCATAAGTATCAACCATGTATATTATACCTACCCTCTGGTAATTTAACATAGCTATTAAAAATGGGTAAATCTCCATTTTCCTATGGTTTTCCTACGGTTTTCCTATGGTTTTCCCATGAAAACCAGAGGGTAAAGCCCATTGTCGGATCCAACATCCAGCGCCACGATTCCACGATTCCACGATGGCCAAGGCCGACGTGGGCAGACGCCGTGCCACACGGGGCAGGTGGTTTGTGCCACCGCCTACTGCGGAGATGACGTCGACTTCGGCGATGGAGCGGGGCATGGTGGGCCATGGCGCCATGGCGCTGATTAAAAAATATATAGATGTGGAGGTTTCCTAAAATAGAGGTACCCTCTGGTTATTTAACATAGCCATGGAAAGATCCACCATTTTATAGCTGGGTAAATCAACTATAGCTATGGTCATTTTCCATAGCTTTTTGTATGTTTACCAGAGGGTAGTTAGTATCGTTATAGTTTATTATTGTTCCTTATCCCAACTGACTATAGATAATGATACAATGGTTATCAACTAACTAGTTCATTGGATGAACCATGGAGTTATACCAACCATGGTGGTTGGATGAACCATAAATAATATAGTTAGTAAATCATGATCAACTATTTTTCGAAGTTATAAAATATATCTGTAAATCCAGTTAGTATCCAATTATAATCCATGGTCAGATCTAGTCAGTAAATGATAGTGACTGGATCGCAATTGAACAAGGGCCAATGAAACAAAATCACCAAAATGGCAACGGAAATGAGTACCCCCATTGAAACCTCCATTTTTAGGGAATTTTCCAATTGCCGTGTTTCATTACCGGAGGGTAACAAAAAAGAAACTGGGAATGCAAACAAGACCGCGCCAGGATAATGTGTATATAGATCTGTGTGAGGGACAGAGCCAATAACAAAGGGTGGAAAATGATCGGTATCAGTATGATTGGTTCTATATATTATATAGATAGTCAAACATCAATAAACCAGATCGCCATTTTTTTTCTGAAAACATTTGCCCTGCTCACCCATGCATTGAACCGCCACTTATCGGCGGTGACCAACCCTGCGAATCGGTTCATGTGGGAACCCAAATGGATGGACCATAACAGACAGGAACAACTTGAATCTACTGACTGACTAAGTCATGTTTGCCCAACAAATCGCTATTTACTGGTGCTCAACTGATTCAATCAGCCATCAGTCCTGGATCTCTCCAATTTGTTGAAGCATAAGTCCCCGGATGATGGTTGTGTAACATGGACAATCTTAGAGATACTGATATTCTGCCAAGAATCGGTGGCTAGGAAATATGTTCATCAAAATGGCAACAAGTTAAGTTGCATTTAGAATTTAACCACCCTTCACCAAGTCCTGATGTCACATAAAGCTGAAACTGCTTTGGTTGCTCAACATGTCCTAGGGCAAGCAATCAGCACTAACATTTGGTGAACCCGTCCTCTGGCTGGTCTTATTTTTATGAAATTCCCGCCGTTGGGGTATGAAGGTACCAGTCTATCTCATCTAACCCAGCTATATAATCTAATCCATTCTATCCATTTTTCAAATGGGTCATCGGATTCGCCAACTGTTCAGTAGCAGTTGTTATTAGTTCACCACTGTTCCTATCCCTGGTTGAAAAAATCCATGGCTCATCAAAGTGGTTATCGGATTCGACCTGGCGATCCTCACCGTGGGTCATCTGAAAGCCTCTTGGAATGGTGATGGAAAATCCCCAAAATCTGAATGTAAGATTTTATGTAAGTTTCTATCTGGGAAAATCATCAAAATGAGGGGGATTCGCAAGATCCACATGATCCACGTTTCGTTTTCCCGGAGGGTAAGGACCGGGATGACCCAGACCTGCTTCCAGGACCCATGCTGTTGATCGACAACATGGGGCCAGCGGCAGGCAATTTTGTTGATCAAAAATAGGGTCGAACCAACAAACGAGGTACGGTACTCTGGAATGGGACAAAGAAATTTGATGTAATATGAGTGGACTATAAATGGAATATTATATAACTTAACTTACTAAGTTTACGCGCTTCCCACTTGGTTAATGTTTGGGTTTGTGATAGAACATAGTAGGACTATAGTAATCCTCTCCCCTAATAATAAACACCCGGAGAAGTATTTAGTATTAGAGGGAATTGTGTATTGGGGTGGGAAGTTTCCCCTTAATACTCAACAGTTTTTTTCTACTTCAAAATCAATTAATTTCCTTCTTTAAAACTATATAATTGACATATTGCCAAAACTTGGATTTTGATGCTTTCCCCTAATACCGATATAAATTTGGAACCTTAACAATTATATATAATTATGTATATATATATATAAATATGCATATTAAAAAAAAAAATCAAGCATAGATATCGATTTCAACCGACGAAAATTAATTCAAAAAAACGCCCCGGTGTTGATGAGTTTAACATATCTATAGATGTTATAGAAATGGTGACATTGGAGGCTGGGAGTAGATCATCGCAACGGGACATTGGGTCACCTGGGTTATTTGCTGTGGATTGAAGGGAACATCGGAAAGCTGGTTTTCCCCCAAGATAGCGGGATCCTATCAATCAAAAATCCTTTGAACCAATCCAATGCTTTTCTGATGAGAGAGTTATTTGGTTTCACCGCAAAAAACCCTTGGAAATTTAGTGACGTGCAATGTCACTGCAGGGCTCATTGAGAGGAAGTTTCGAAGCTACTTTGAGGCCAGTGTTGGGTTCCGATCCGGGCAAAATGGGACATCCGCGGGCCACTAAAAAAATGAAGGATATTGAAGGATATTGAAGGATATTGCCCCCACAGTGATGCCAAATGGTTTACGACACCCAATGAACATTGTACAGTAGATAGATAGATATATATATATATATGTAGCAAGTGAAATTGGAGTTACAGACCAACTTAGCTAACGAACTGGGGCACCACTTTGCAATAGAAAAGGGGATGTCACCGGCAGAATCGAACTATAGGGATGAAGAAATACATGTGAGGCTCCTTTGCTGCAGGTGGAGTATTTTGTGCCACCGGGAAAAAGGGTTTGTTCCCCGATGTTTTTTAAATGTTCCTACAGTGTGGGTCCACCAAGATAGCTAAGTTGGTTTATAACTCCAATAACTATGGTTTATGGTACTTATAACTATAGTTAATGGGGTTTAAACCAACCTATAACTGGCAACATCATTGACAACCAAGTTTCCAGTGCAAACTGGATGATCAAAAAACAAGCTCAGCGCCAGGACACCAGTTATAAGAAAGTCTTTCACAACTACGCCTTTGACAAACTCATGTTCCCTGCTTGCAGGGTTCGGCCCGGGTTGGAGGACCATGAAGATCTATGAAGATCTGACTTGGGAGGAATTTCATGCAGGGTGCAGAACGGTCCGAGAGACTCGAAGTAGGTGCTTGTTTCCAATGTTTCTCTCATAGGCCATGAAAGTATTGAATGTTTTTGTTGTGTTGTTCATGATTGTGAAATGTTTTCTAATGTTTTCTATGGCAATGATGTCAAGTTTCCAAAAACATATAGCACTCCGCAAACATTGGATGATGATGCTCAATCTGACTTAATGGCCCAATTTCCAGCCAGAATACTTGGCAATGCTTCCCAGAATGGCTTGAAGGGATTTGTTTTTCAATAGGAGGCCCTCATATGCCGACCTGAAAACCTGTTTTTTTTTTGCAGTTTCCGGCAATTTAACTAGATGTATCCGCTTCTTTCCAGTCATTTAACTTAAGAAAGTGCATCCAGTGGCGCGGAAGACGCTCCATGAAGCACTTCATCGAGACTCCGTACAAGGTACCCTCTGGTTATGTCAAAATAGCTATTGAAAATTGCCATTTACAGTTGATTTTCCTTTTAAACATTGTGATTTTCCATAGTTATGTTAGTTTACCAGAGGGTAGGGAGGTGCAACCATGGCGACAACAACTTCATCACTGAGAGGAGCTGCTGCCGACGAAGATAGGAAGATGACAGCGATGCAAACACACAACTTCCGACCGACCCTATAGAGTGGAAGACTTGGGCGTGATGAACTTTCAGGACCATAACTATTGGGTTTTGAGGGACAACAACTAATAGCAAATGGTTTTCCATCATTTTCCCCATGACAGTTGCCAATGAAAACGCATACTGAGCAGAAATAACAGATTATAGCAGCCTCCAAAGCCGATTAGACAATATTAGTTTTCAATCATGAAACATATTGTTGAAAATAGGTAAACAGGCACATGAATTTACCAAAATGTTGCCCTCCACTATAGATATGGCCGCTATGGATGAAAATGGCAATTGTCCTCTCGGTAAAGCATTTAGAAATTGTCCATTAGAGTTACTTTATGTCAGTCAATAATGGCAATTTATAGATGTTGTTTCCCCTTATTTTCCTATTTATACCTCCATCCGGTATTATAGGTGATGTTCATTGATTTTCTATAATACCTATAATTTTATAGGCATTGTAGGTGATGTTCATAATTGTTCATATATCTATATAGGTATTATACCTGATTTTCTATCATTTTCCTAGCTATAAGCCTTTATAAACCTCCGCTCGTTCGGCGATTAGGTTGAAGCGTGATGGCATCGCCGTGGAGGGTTTGGCTGCGGACACGTCCCATGGCGAATAGGGGGAAGGCAACGGCAACGGCGACCTGGGAGCCATGGACGTTACTTATTGGACATTCCCGTAAAAATGATGGGAAAATCCATGGCGAAAATCATCGATAAATGTGGATGGAGTTTATTAACTAGTTACTTCGGGGTGCAGTTGAGGTGAATTGTTTATGTTTTTTTTTTTTTACAATGGTTGTGAATCCCCATGGTTGTTTGGATATGGCCACCCTACAACTATGATCATATTGGTGGTTTGGAAAAATGTTTATTTTCCCCAATAGTCTGGGATGATGATCCAATCTGACTTTCATATTTTTCAGGGGGGTTGAAACCACCAACCAGATATCATCCATTAATTAAGTTCATTAGCAAATGGATTTGGAAGTTACTAGCCTTGCATCGCTAATCCCATGGCCCATCCAAGTGGCAACACCAAAATGATACTCCAAGGCCTGTAATGTGTGATGATTTAGCGCTTAGCTGATCAGCCACTATTTTTCTTGATTTTATTCAGCATGTTGAACTCTAATCGTTGGGATGGTCACTTCAGTGAACCTAGTTTTCACTAATCGACCTCATCATACCCGAAGAAATGCTCCACAAGGTGATGCCCAGTGATGCCCAATCCAACTGAATGGATGTCTTGCCTTTGACGATGAGCAGGTCATTTTCCGAAATTCAAGGGATAATTACCTGAAAACAACACCTTAGGATACACCTCAAGAGCCTACAGAACTAGGCAAAATTGGTTCATGTGTACCTTAAGACAAGTGAAAATAGTGTGTATACATATATGTACTGTATATACATATGTATACACGTAATTATTGAATACCTATAGACATATCGTATAATAGAAGTATTGTATATGTGTATATTTTATATATATGCCTAAAACTTCCACCCTGGTATTATTTCAGACCATACCCGAATGAACATTTCAGACCCTGGCATTTGGACGATGTGTGATTTTGATGGTGTCGTCAATATGTTGAGCTTATTCTGGGTAAATAACGACCGAACCCTGCGACCGAGCCCTGGAATCATGGTTTATTTTAGAGGAATCATCCCCAAATGGCCGCAATATTCAGGTTAGTGAAATATGATAATTTACCCAGATTATTGCAACACATGACAACATGGTTAATACCCTTGAGATTCATGACAACATATGAACTTCGTTGATCCAACCCCTTTTCACTTGATATTAAATTATTAAACCATGTTGAAAACTAATTCATCCATTTTACTTGAACCATCATCTCAAGTTTTTGAAGTTCTTGAGTGAGGGCAGCTTCGATGTCAAAGGATGCATTCCAAGCTCCCTTTTCACAACGTCCAGCCCCTCCACTAACGTGTTGATGGATAGACTTGGCCAAAAGACTGCAGAATTCATTTGGGTCATGAATATATAATTATGAATTAACCCTTGTTTAAACACATACCATCAAATACCGATAAACTCATTTTTCTAAAGATTGTAATTTATAGGGTGCCCAAAAGCCCTTACCTGGAAATATCCGCCCCTTATCTGCATATTTAATTATGACAAAGTGAGTTGTTTTTCATGCAAATATGTGTGATTTTCATATGCGCATGAATTAGTTATCATGTATGAATAAATCGTTTCCTTCTATGAACAATTAATTTCCTTGTATGAAGGACGCATGTCCTTGTATGTATGAACAACTCAGTTCCTTGTATTAAAAAAACTAAATTCCTTATGACTTTCACTAAAGAGAATTGTGCAAAAAAAGCAAATCTGACCAAGGTGTGACAAGACAACACTGATACGTCAGGGTTTTGTTCTTAAGGTAGGGGCTGGAAATTTAAGCTCTTGGAGGATGCAGGTATGTGAATAGCTTCATGGGACATGATGCATTATTATTTGCAAGTGCAAGTTTGAGTTCAATATTAATTGAACGGGCTGAGCACATTCATATCTCTTGTGTCCGAATTTTTTGTTCAGCTTCATGTGAAGCTTCTGCAAGTGCCGATGTTCATGTTTTCATGCTGTCATGTCAAGACTTCAATACCATCAACATGCAACACGTGCCATTACATGAGTTCAAAGCATGAACATCGATTTTTCATCAATTTATCTGTCAAATTTTCCTATCCCATCCCACTACGTTTCCCACCCTGGGAACATGGACGAATTGCCGGATGGCACACCTCAACAACTTTTCCGTCCGTTGTTGATCACTCAAAGTCAAATCTCACGATTAGACGACATCGAAGAAAGCATTATCGAGTTGACCGATTTCACAGAGGATGAGCACCTTCCGGCAGCCATCGATGTTTTGCTGAATTTGCGGCAGATTCAACAGGTTCGAGTGAACCTCAACTTTCTGCTTAGTATGCAAGTGCTTCAAGTCAGCCGCCGCCTCCAGCAATTTCTCAGGCAGCACGGAAGGCTACCTCTCGTGGACCTCAACTTCCGGTAGTTCACTTTGGGACACCTTTCCCCATGACCGGTCTTATGGCCTACCCAAAGCCAGACCGCGGCCGACCGGATGATCCGAATCCCTGGCATGGATGGTATTGTATATTTGCAACACTTTTAAGATAGGTGCATATATGCATTTAAAGCACGCATGTAGCTACAAGATACATGGACATATATTATATTGTAGATATGCACATGTATTTCAAGATATCCTAAAATGTTTTAAGATTTTCAAGGTATATATTGTAGATGTGCACATTTGCGCGTACACAGCCAAAATATCAAACATCCCAAGAGATATCAAGTTTGCACCATTATAGATATATGTATCATTAACCCTGGTAGCTTTATATTGCTTTATATGGTTTCATTTGGTTTAATAGGGATAATAATGGGATATGAATGGGATGCTAATAGGACAGTAGGCTATTAATGGATATTGATGGACATTATACTTGTTGTTCTTTTCGTACATAGGACCATGGCTAATTATCCATTGATATATCTATGAGATTCGTTCATTATAATATTTATAATAGTACTATAATATTCTATTATTATTGTTTATTATATTTATATAATATTATAATTATTTGTGATATTGATTATCCATTTATTCTTGGCTTTTCCTGGGAATGCCATTGTAATCTCCCGCGTCTCGAGGCTCATCTTAGCGCGGCTGCACGACACCTCCCTGGCGTCCTGGGAAGGTCGAGAGAGGCGACCGGTGAGATCCGTTTCGCGCGTGCTTTTGGATGGTGGATGACTGTTGTATGGCTACCCTCTGTTTATTTAACAGACATAGCCATGGAAAATAACAATTTTTTATAGCTACAAAAAATCTATAAATGGGTCATTTTCCATAGTTATTTTTAACAGTTTGCCATGGAACATCACCATTTTGTTATACAAAAAATCTATTTCTATGGGTCATGGTTTCCATAGCTCTGTAACAAATAACCAGAGGATAATTGGAATTAATTGGAATAATCATTTTCAGTAAATAATGTTTCGTTAAACACAAAAAAGGACAAATAAGGGGAGCCCCACCAAATAATAATGTTTAGTAAATAACTTGTGTATATCTATATATAAATATACTACTCCAATTAAAAACATTGTTTTTTTCATTTATCCAAACTCTGTTTTTGTTATTCGACAAAAAATGCACTTAAGCAGCCAGAGGGGGTGATTGCATTGTTTGAACCACTGACGCAGGGTTGACTGAGGAAAAATGTTTTTGTTCCTCAATTGTTTTGTCGAGTGGCCCCATCTACAGTATGCAATGCCATGGCTTTGAATATGGCAAGTTTCCTGTCGGTATTTTGCAGAGAGTTTTGTCTTTGAATCATTGCGGCATTTACTCGGTAGAAGAATATCAAAATAGTGTAAGAATAAACTGCTATTGTCAACAACTGCGCTATTTGCTGTTAGATAGGTTTGCCAGAGCATTGCTGGCAAACATCGCCCCAGTAGTAATGACTCGGGAAACAAACGCATCGCTGCATCCACTCTCACCATTGTGCAAGTGAAATGCGCCGAACGGCTGTGAATGGGAACATAAACCTACAAAAACTGGTGGTATCACCAATAAAGTGTGGGCCTATCATGATGAACTAGTCTATGAGGAGTATGTCATGTTTTTTTGCTCCCATCGTTGGGGGTACAACCAACGCTCCCATCGTTGGAGTTTCTCACCTCGAAGCGATTGCCCCTCCACCAGAAGGACCTGCAGACGAGCCTGGTGAGGAACTTCCGTTTCGATTTACCTTTGGTGGTGTTTCTCAATTTCTAAACACCAGTGATGTTTGTTGGTTTATGAATTTATAACCTATAGCCTTAGATTAGGGTCATCCATGCTGAGAATCAGGCATGGCCTGGGCCGCGGGCCAAGCAAACTGGACGCAACAAATTCCTTGGTTGGATGTGGTTGGATTGCCAATTTAATCAAGCAACATCTTTTCTGCGGCATTAGTTTGAATATGTCAAACGAAACAATTATTATTATTTTCTGGAAATTGAAATGGGTAATGCAATCAATATATTTAACATTGTTGAGCCCAATGCCATGGGAATGGATCAAACCCTAGTATACCATATCAGGGGGACATGAATGGATGAACATCATGAACATCCATTCCAAACTAAGCCACTTTGGAGTGAACAGAATGCCAGGGTGAACCGCCCCACACTTTCCCATGGAATATCATATAATTCCACAACCATAGGGGCCCCATATCCCAATGAACCTGGGGGTTAAAATGCCATGGTCATACTGGCACCTCCAAGTGGCCCAAGTGACCTACCCCATACCCCAAGCCTTGACGTTGCAGGGCCAGCAAGCTGATGAAAGACATCTCCATGGCCGAAAGCTTTGACCGCTCCAAAAGCTGGGAGGCGACGTTTTTTTTTTTCAGATTCTGCGACTTAAAAATCATCATCCGACATTTTGAAAGTGCTACATGTTACCATTGTTCTAACTCGTTTTTAACATGTAACCTTCTATTTATAGATAGAATACCACGACTTGAAGATGTACGAACCAAGATTGTTTGGTTCCCACAGGGACTCAGTGGGGCGATCCTCCAAGCATATAGGGATATGGTTTGTTTTGTATTGTATCAGCTAGGAAAATTAGAGTGCAAGTGAACAAAAGCAGGGATGTAACCAACAAACAGTTGGGTATTCCCGCCCTGTTTGACCCATGTCATTTTCTAGTCTTGTATTTGCTGAGTCGATTAAATCTTAAATCTTCCCAACGGGAAATCCACTACTGGAGGAATCTTATAGGGAGAATCTGATTTTGGGGGGAGGGTTCCAGATGAGCGCGGCTTCCCAGTCGGACATGGAGCTGGAGCCCCGGCTTTGGATTGTGAAAGCTGAAAAGGAATATGTTCATTTTAGATTTGAGCCCTTGTTTCTCTCCGTTTTTCAAAAAGTTCACATCATATCATGCAACTTTCTGAAGTGAGGTACCTAAGTGCCAGACCTGGATAAAGGGAATGCGTTCACTGTTATTTTGTCCCTTGGCGAACCATGGTTTTCTTGCACCAGTCCCTCAACACACCAGCCTATCCCCGAACTGGTTGAAGGGAGAACTTGCCGGAAAGTCCTGCGAAATGGAAAGGAAAACACACATCATTTTCTCAGAAGTCAAATTTCCATTAAATCAATCCACATTGCCTTTATTGTCCCCTTCTATACGTTTTCCTGTAGATATACCAATTCTGCCCTGTTGCTTCAGGGAAAGGAGCCCAGCAGGGCAGTGAAGGGTGTGGCCTTTGCGGGAAAGAAGATCGATTTGAAGGCTGGCTAAACCTTGGAAAGGGATTTAGAAATTGTTTAACCATCAAATGAGTAATTCACTCAGTCAAAACATCTTGAAATCAGAAACAAGGGGCTTGCGCCAATTTGGGGGTTTCCAACTGGATTGCTAGTTTGATAATGTTTACCCTCTGGTAAACTAACATAACTATGGAAAATCACCATTTTGATTGGTAAATCAATATAAATTGCCATTGTTAATAGCTATGTTAGTTTACCAGAGGGTAAAATTTTACCAAAACTATGTTCCATGTGTTTTTTTTGCCTGGTTGGTGGTTTGGAACATGGCTTTTATCTTTCCATATATTGGGAATAAGGTGAACAACTGACTTTCATATTTTTCAGAGGGGTTGAAACCACCACCCAGTTGCGCATGTTATTTTACAAGGTTAGGTGATGACCAAGAATGATGCTTCGTGATGACTAACCAACTGCAAGGTATGGCCGCATGCTCAAGCTCCTGCTCAAGGGTTCTCTCTTTTTCTACCCATACGCATGTCGCAAAAACAACAAAAAGAAGTGGATATTTAATATGTTTATTAATGATGTTTAATATTGTTTTATAGGCATGATAATGGGAAAATACTGGGATATTAATGGATATACCGTCCGGTAAACGAGCATAGCTATATGGAACATGGACCATTCTACCATTTAGTTCGATGATTTACCGGAAATTTCGTGAGTTGCCATGGCTACGGCTATGTCTATTAGAGGGGTTGTGTTGAACAACCTTGGAAAATTGTCGCCACTGGAAGTTGGGACCCAGAAAAATGGTTCTGCTACGATCCGCATCGAAACATGCGTTAAAAAAAGGCCACACACATACATATATATATAATATAAAGAAATATTGTATATATAATAATATATATATATATAATATTTTATAATTATATATATATATATATCATATATATATATAGAGTCATTGGTTTTTGATCCGTAGTTTCAGTTTTTGAATGGCACATGTTCTTCATTTCCACCTTTTTGCATGTTCTGGAGGTTTGTTTGAACCGATTGCGAGATCTTGATGGCTTCAGTGAATCATCCTATTATATCATCTTATTCCGGGCCTTCCATTTGGGGTGTTGGAGGCAGATTCTCCTTGTATAACCCATGGTTTCACTATTGAATCTTTATACTGTGGGAATCAAATAATGGATTTCAATATATTTGAATGGTGATATTTCACAGGGTTGCCCTCAACACCCCTTAAATCAGTACTACTATGCATATTCCTCCTTCATTGCGGATAATTAACCTATGAACCAGAAACCGATCATATATATATATATATCATATATATATATATCATTATATCATACATATATATATCATTATATCATATATATATATATATCATTATATCATATATATATATATCATTATATCATATATATATACATCATATATATATATATATAAATAATGATATATATATATATATAAATAATGATATATATATATGTATATATATATCATATATATATATAATTATTTATATATATATATTAATAATTCATAAATTATGTTTTTACCAAATTTACATACAATAGATCCCAGTTTTCCTGGTTTAAACATGTTCAATTCAGATGTTTTGTTTAATGCAGAAACTTCTTGGGAGTTTCCACGTCGTTTTGACGGTGCCGCTGCAGTCCTTCTCTTCAGCATCAAACCTCCATACTATCAGCATTCCCATGGAACATGCAGGGAGGCTCAACCGGACATTTGAACCATGAACAAATGAGTCGTATTCAAAAAGCCTCTTGGTTGATTTTTATTTGGGCTTATAGTACGTAACTATACGATATATTGGGGATTATCATGATCCAATATGGGAAGTTTTGACCAGCCATGGGATACAATTGATAACTTATTGTTGGTGAGCAGGTGATTTATCCAATAGAATTGGTGATTTCTATGGCTATTTGGGGTGAGTGTGCTTAACCGGTGGATTTTAGGGGCATACTGTACCCCCTTTTGGGAATAAGAAATGCCCCTGCTGATTGGTTGGATGTATTATGCTACCTCGGTTTAGTAGAGATTGCGAGCTAACCTTGTGACTATATGAACCAACTGGATACCTAACCTGGTAAACTAACAGTTCGCGAACTGGAACATCACCATGTTCAAAAATGTTAAATCAACTATAAATCACCCATTTTCCATAGCTATTTTATTTTACCAGAGGGTACCTGTTGGGTATCTATTTTTTAATGGGCCATGGAATCGTTCCCTGCGGCTTCGGGGACGACGTTGTTGGCAAATTTGGGTCAAGCCAGGTGACCGGCCCACGGATTGTATATCTCAATATAAAATGATGTCGGGTCTGGTGGAAAACCCATAGGAACATGGAGGTTTTAATGGGAAAACCATAGGAAAACCATAGGAAATTGGAGGTTTACCCTCCGGTAATGTCAACAGTTTGCTATTGAAAATACCCCATTGAAATAGTGGATTTACCCATTGAACATGGTGGATCTTTCCATAGCTATGTTAAATTACCAGAGGGTATATCTAGTTATATCACCATTGTATACCACTGGTTGGTGGTTTGGAACATGAATTTTATGACTTTCCATATATTGGGAATAGTAACCCCAACTGACTAATATGTTTCAGAGGGATTGAAACCACCAACCAGACCATTGTATAGGTATATACCATTAATGATATATCTATATCTATATGTTATATATGTATCTAATATATATGTATGTATATTTGTATATTGCCTTTGATTTCTGTTATGCCATGATATCCAATGGTTTTCCCTATTCGGCTAAACCATATAAGGCCTATTCGGATGATCTCACTGTGACATCACTGGTGAAGTCATCCCCCATTTCGGCCCCGGTAAGGATCTCACCATTGGTTGAGGGGTAGCCACCAAAAAAGACAACAGGCACAAATTGCTGATAAATGGTATGGAAAAAAATCAGCCCCTCTCCTTTTCCCAATCTTCAAAAAAGGACATGTTGTGCCGGCATCATGATGTTTCACCTTGGGTTCAGGGCAACATTTAGGGGTTTGACCTGCCACAAGAAAAAAGTAGTATATACATAAGAAATTACTTGATCATTCAAATCACCCGTTTTTCCTCATTCGAGTCAACTGGCAGTACAAGTGTGTCGTTTCTTGGGGGAGTGTGTTTTCCACACTCACGGTGCTTTTCTAGGCTACTGGGGCTCACCACACCCAATCGAATCAAGTTTATCTCGCCACCATTTTCTTGGATAGTCCATTTTTTTCCCAGTGGGACATCTGGTCCACTCACTAAAGTTGAGCAATATTTTGTTGGAAAATGGGGGTTTCCATATTTCCATTTTTTATTGGGGTACCACCAGTTACCCAGTTCTCATTTTCCCGTATATTTTCCCTAAAAAACACCTACATCAACCATTTGGGGTAGCCGCTGGTAGCCCCATGACTCTCGGAAACCTCCATGTTGCTGGCAGCAAATCGATGTTGAGGCCACGAAGATCAAAGAGCTTCCCAAGATGAGGCAGTGTTTTTAACCTGAAATGTTCAGATTCTGGAGTTGCAGACCAAACTTGGGTGGTTGAATTGAATATATCTTTTATAATATCTCTCTATATATATATATGCACTTTTTTTCGTAAGAAAAAAAACAACGAATTTTTGCATGATTGAAAAGTACGTGGTGCTGTACCCATTCTGATGCAACGAATCGTAAGGAGGTGATATCCTTGTTTAGAGCAAGCGGAGATGCCTGGCATCTTTGCTCACATACAGTGGGAAGGAGAGAACCCAGATCATAGACGGCGCCAAGTGACCAAACAGTTGCTTTCAGAATGGCTTGACCGTACAAGATCGTACAACTATATAATCGTCCCACTTGTGTGGAAGTGGTGAGTAAACTATGCAAGTGTATGTATTTATATATCTACAGTAGATATAGGTTACGTAGGTTCGTAGCCATACTATCACCTGAGTGTGGCTGAAAACCGCAGGACCGCTTACCAACTTACAGGACTACTGTAGTCCTATTATTCCACCCCCAAGCTTGGCCCTGAACTGAAAAGATTCACACTAATAAGGCCGATGGGTTGTTTTTATTGCCACCAGCAGCCAAACAAAATACACATACAACCAAACCTGTTTGCTTGTTGATTTTCGCATAAACTTCTCAGCCAATAAATAGGGAATCAATTGGGAATATCGAAGTAACCAACCATGATATAGTTGTGTTGAACCCAGTTTGATTCCATAGTTTTGACAATTCAAAATCCCAAAATCTGGTTTGGTAAATCCTTTCAAGGGCAGAACATTTCAAGTTAATGGAATGTGGCACAACTAACATATGTGGATAAAATATTTCCAAATGTAGACATTGGTGGAATTCTACTTGGCTTTGGGGTGCATTTCCTCTTGGTAAGTGGGTAGGTATATGGCCACAGGCCATGTCATGATGACACTGGTTTCCCAATTCACAGGGCTTATTTCATGGGATTTGTTGAAGGTATACCATCTGGATCATCATTTTGTAGTGGTTAATAGTGGTTAATAATGGTTAATAATTGTTAATAATAATGTTTTATAATGGTTAATAATAATGGTTACCCTCTGGTTATGACTAACATAGCCATGGTTTTTCGATGGCCCTAATCGAAATAGATGATTTTCCTATCTAGATACCTCCATAAATGTGGTTGGGATTTTCCATGGCAAACTGTTAGTCATAACCAGATGGTAATGCACCAGATATCTCATTAACCATTATTAACCACTATTAACCACTATAATGCCCATTCTATCCCAGTTAAATAACCATGGCTATGTAGCCGGTTTCGAGGCTATCGAATCTGAATCTTGCTTCGATGGTCGTTTCACCAGGATGGGCTACGACTTGAAAAGCTTAGCCTTTCAATACGTGCCTTGGGTTCGAGAGATCGCTGGAGACTTCGGAGGACTTCCAGTCAGTCATAGCTATGGATGGTCCATAGATCATTTACCCTCTGGTAAACGTAGCCACAGGACTATGGAAAGATCCACCATTTTTTCTGGGAAAATCCACTATTTCTATGGTCATTTAAAAGGAGAGAAAGGAAAACCCTCATTTTTTCCGCATGACCGAGGTGTTGGGACGGAAAAGTTGAACAAGTTGATGAAAATGGTAGGGGCAACTATGCCAAAAAATGTGTTTTTTGTTAAGATAATTTACCCAGATGTGTAAACTTTAGTAAACCCTAGAAAAGCCATTCCCTCAAGCACCAGGGTCAATTCAGCTCATCCCTCTGGGTATTCCCAGGGATGAGATGCCTGGATGAAACCCCGGCCTGTAGATTTCCCCTACCAATCCAATGATTCTTTCAGGGAACTCCATGTCTTTCAGTTGGCTTACCATTCTCTGACTGAATATACGATAGGGTCTACGCAACTCTTCCGAAAATACTGTAGTTCATTAGCAAGTTGGACTGAGAAAGCTTGAAAAACATGCGTTTTTTATTGCAATCAATTTGCTAATTGTGATTAATGAACCAATGCGGTTTATAAACTAATTTACATTGTGCAACATTGAAGTTATATAAATCATTCGTTTACAATCCTCACTTTTTAGTCTAGTTACAACCACTTCCTTCCAACCACTTGGGTCATTAACCTCAACATGTCCTGCCGCTGGTGAGATGAGTCAGTTAGGACCCATTTCTCACAGTTGTACTTTCCTGGTCGAAATCAAAAGTCAACATTATTTGTGGTTTCTCTAAGAAATGACTAGAGTGTTGGCTATCGCAAACTATACATCAAGTATAATTAAATATGGCTATCCACATACCCATATTTATCCACATTATTTATGTTTATGGTTTATCTACAAAAAGTGGATTAGAGTGTTGCCTATCCGTCTATTATTGATCCAAAATACTTGCTGAGTGTTTGTCCAGAAAAAAAAAACACAGCCCTCACAGCCCAAAATGCTCCGAAGGCGCAATCCACGATCCCGCAAAAGGGAACGTAGTTCATTCGATAAATATTGGAACTTAGTACATAGTCAAGTTATACCCCCATAAGCCTCATTATATGTTCATTCTATCTCAGATTCTTCTGTACCACAAGTTCTGCCATAGCAAACTGTTAAATTACTAAACGAAATCATGGGTTCTCACCAACATATTTTTCGGTAACCCAAGGGAATCTCAAGAAAAATAACCTATGTTCCAGGTTAAGATATCAGTACTTCATTAAATCCACAATTATATGTATTTTTTTTAAATATATACACATAAATATTCAGTTTTTATGAATCAGGTACCTAACATGGAGGTACTGTACCATATAAAACAATTTGTTGGAAGTCATTGCCTTAAATAGGCCAAAGACCTTACACATGTTAGGTAGCTCCAAGAAATCAGTGGAAGTTCCCTTGACAAAATTCGATCCCATAAAATATCCCATTCTTTGATAGGGATAAAGAATGGGATGCCATGGGATATTTATTCCTATCAAGCCATGGGATATTTATCCCTATCAACAAAATTTACCCTCTGGTAAATTAACAGCTGGACCCTGAAAATAGCCATTGTTGAGTTGAAACTAATCTTCCAACCCTGTTTTTTGCCAGGTCTATGTTAGTTTACCAGATGGTAAATGGTTGATATATGGTTTATATAAGCCAATAACTATAAGTATGGTATTTAACTGATTGTAACTATGGTTAATACCCATTTTCCTATTCCAATGGTTTTCCTATGGGTTTCCTATGGTTTTCCCAGCTATAAACCTCAATTTTTCCTATGGTTTTCCTATGGTTTTCCTGTGGTTTTCCTATGGTTTTCCCAGCTATAAACCTCAATTTTTCCTATGGTTTTCCTATGGTTTTCCCATTATCCCTATCAATCCATGGCATCCCAGGGCATGACGGGCTCCATGGAGCCGGCGAGCTTCCGGCAGCTCTTCGGTGCAGCTTGGTTGGAGCCAACGTAACGTTATGGCCCGTTATGGCCCGCAGTTACAATTGGGTTCATGATATACATATATATATTTTTTTATATGGGATATAATTATATAATAATTATATGTATATATATATATAACTTGTTTAAAACATTATCTATATATAACCTTACTTATAAAACATTAGTTGTATAAAGAAGTTAAATGGTAACTTTTAAGCGTTCACGGTTGTTTAAGCGTCATAACTGAAGGCGATTCCCATGGGATAATGATGGGGAAACCGGAAACCCATTTCCAGCAACCATTGGGGGATGGTTTATAGAACCTCTTTATATCTATAAGTGGTTGGTTGTTTGGAACATGAATGTTAATTTTCCAAATATTGGGAATAATCATCCCAACTGACTTTCATATTTTTCAGAGGGGTAGGTATACCACCAACCAGTCTTTATATCTATAAATATTGTGATATATGGTGATTGTGGAGATGGTTTATGAATGTTTATGACAAAAAAAAACAATTTGAAAATGGTGTCATAGCAGTTTGATATGTGGTTTGAAACGTTGGTTTCATAGGGATGATTCTGGGATAATAGGGTAATGATGCATCTACCCTCCGGTGTCATCAAACGTGGCTGGCTGGGAACCCCCTATACATGTAGGTTTATAGTTGGGAACATCATATATGAATAGGGAATTATCCCTTGCCATGTTTGATTATCAAAGGGTATAATTATAGATTTTGTGGAAATACGGAATACGTTTGCGAAATGTTATTGATATAGATTATTTCGCAATATTTATTCTAAATATGAATATGAATCAATAATTATATATATATATAAATCTTGTTCAGAAATACGTTTGAATACGATGAATTGTATATCCGATCAATTTCTCCAAGTGTTGGGTCATTTTCCGCCATGTTTGACCATTCAAGGTGAGGTTGTCTTGAGGCCAGATTTCACCTGCCCCGCACTGAAGTTAAACTACTGGGGGTAATCCCACACAGAAAGTGGGCCTGGAAATGCATGGTACCCAAAAAAAGGGTGAATGAGCCCATCTGCGTGGAAATTGGGTTAAACAAATCTGGGTAAAACAGCTGGTGAATGGTTTGTTTCTATTGCGTGATTTTGTTCCCTTTTGAGGGGTGTAAGATTTGATTATATAATTTACTAATTAGATAGTATGATTTTGTTCACATGGGCACGCAAACTACAACCATGGAAGATTGAACTACCTTTGCAAATTGCATGTTGTTCAACTGGCAGGGTATATCGGCACTGTACGATCATCTACAGGCAGAGCGTCAGCTTGACCAATTGGTCGCGCAAGCGCTACCCCTGATTCTTGGACTGTGCCGGGAAATCTGTGGGGAATTCTTTTTCCCAACCCTTTATCTCCCCAGCTACACGAGGGCAAGCAGCGCAAGCAACAGCAGGGCTGTACCGGGGCCGGGGCTCTGGGCCGCAGCGGCTATGTGGGGACGATGAAGTGGTGAATGCCCTGGCTTGCAGTTTCGATTTCGTTCCAATGTCACCCGAATAGCTCTTTTATAATCTCTTATTTAGTAAATGATTTAACATCCAATCACCATCGTGACCAGACGCTGCACTTTCTTTCCGTTTAAATGTTGTCCAATTCGATTCGGCTGTTGATGTCCAATGGTTATATGTTTGTTTATCAGAGGGTATCGGTCCTAAAGTGCCATCAGTTTATGGAATTCATCCGGCCCTTCGAGGTTAGCAGTTTGGTCCGTCGGTCCGTTGGATCCCCGGGATATGGATTTCCCATGATTTCCCCGTGTCAGGCGGGTTGCACAATCACAAAGTGGCTACCGTTTTTTTATGCAAGCATTCATTAATTAGGTCAGAATCTAAGCCATCTATAAATGGAGCCATTTTTAGTGAGGGTGAAGGTAACAATAAATGCACCATAACCTAATGAAGGCAATGTTTTACCATCTGGTTATTTCACAGTTTGCCATGGAAAGATCCACCATTTTCAATAGGTAAACCATCTATTTCTATGGGCCATTTTCCATGGCTATGTTAAATAACCAGAGGGTATATAGTTGTCAATAGTTGGCATAAATATTCAAACATAATTACGAACGGGTATAACTCCCATAGACCCATACATTCCTCAATGCCCTGTATGATAGAATAATTTACCTATATTGGGACCAAGTTTGTGGTAAATATTGGTTAATGTTGGAACATGTGAGATATGCTGCAACACCTTTGTTTTTGGTTGGTGGCTTCTGTTTGATACTATTTTTGCGGATGCAGTGAGTTTCATGAATGGGCCTACAGCATTGTAAAAACTCCCACGTGTTTAGATATAACCCTTATCAGTATGGTTACATACCTTCTGTAAACAAGCATGGAGGCATAGATGTGGAAAACCCGCCATGTGTAGATACTATCCCTCAGGGTTTCCCCCTAGGTTTTCCATATGTATGTAAATGTTTACCCCTGGGTGCCCACATGTAAGTTACAACTGGAACCGCACCGGCACTTCTGAGGCTTCTGGAAACGCGGCACGTGAAAAGTTCCTTGGATGGCAGCCATGGCCATGGGACGTGGCCCTCTTGGAATCTAGCGCAATTCAAACATGCCATATTTGGAACTTTAATTTCTCAGGTTTCTCACCATTTTTTTTTGCAAAAGTTGTTTTGTTTTATCTCAGAGTGGGATTCAAAAAAAACGGCTCACAAGTTTATATAAATCCACTTGGAACTGCGCGCTTCCGGGCACGTGCGGTTGATTCTTTGTGGGTAAATCGGCGCTGGTGGCAGTACAAAACCACTGGAGATGGGGATGAGGGGATGAGGGGTGGTTGATCAATGGGTACCCAACCTTGTTGTCCAACCTGGCGAAAATCAAGATTGATAGATATGATATGATTTTCCCATTAAAACCTCCATTTTAGGGAACTTTCCGTTGCTATGTTTGACTACTGGTTGATAAAAAATCACACGTTGAAGGTCAGTTTTTGATGGAGAAACAATCCATAGAAGAAGAACGGTGGGTGCCACAATGGTGGCACATGGTGGCACCAAAAAAATTAGCATCCGACGATTTGGTGCCACTTTGCACAGTTTGTTCACCCCATGGGGATTTGGTCGTGAGTTTCACTTGCTTTTGGCAGGCAGGGTTCCTGCAGTCCCATTCAGAATTGGGCCAGAACTTAATAACATTTAAATCATTTAATAACCATATATAGTATAGAGTTGTTATTAATCCCAATGTCATCATTAATCACATGTTCCAAAAGACGTCATGACTCATGAAGCTGAATTCTTCTGAATAGATCCGTCATAGTCAAACAGGGTTCTGAGCGGATGAGATCCTACCCTTCGCAGCAGACATTTTGACAAACTATGGGATTAGTGACTTGCAAATAACCAAGTTGCTTGGGCAAACCGGAGTTTTTTTTGACAAAAGTTGGGAAACCATTTTATAGCCGAGGGGACCGGCAGCGTTGGAGGAATTCCACTCCATGGCATGTTGGCAAAGTGGAATGGGGACATTGTATTCATCTCGAAGCAATACTGGTTCGTTCAAGATTAATTAGCACCAGGAACCGCCAAGAGCTTATCAGCCAGCTATCATTCTAGGAGCCACCTTTCTGGGCGGCTGAATACCCATGAGGTATTGGGGAAGAAACACACTGGAAACATCTTGCAAACCACTAACCCCAGCCATCACCTCGATCGTTGGTCGACCAGTCGACCACGAATGCATATTTTTTGGACAAATTCTCTACCAGTTTTTTTTTGTCCGGAGAATCTCCCATTGTTGTTTAGCGATTGGTTAGGTCCAACTAGCATTTATTTATATTTCTTTAGCTTGACTAGCTGCTTCAACTTCTCCCATTTCCTGCGGCTCCAGACGCCTTCTGGGACTGTATTTGGTGGTCTTTTTTGGGCAGAAACACTACAATGTAAGGCCCCCCAGTTATGTTTGTTGGTTTAGATTCGCCCCAGTAACTATAGTTATAAATACCATAAACCATATAAACCATAGTTATTGGACTTATAAACACTACTTATTTGACAACGTACTTGCACAGCTAGAAGGTGTCCATCTAGCTACAGATGTGTCTACCATAAACCCTAGTAAACTTACTGGACTAAACCAACTGCGCTAAGAAAAATCAGCTATATCATGCTATATCAATCTATATCAACGATCACTATCCTGGTTGGTGGGTTTGGAACATGAATTTTATTTTCCCCAATAGTTGGGAATGTCATCATCCAATCTGACGAGCTCCATCATTTTTCAGGGTGGTGGGGCTCAACCACCAACCAGATAATATAACCAAGTAGTTCTTGGTTGAACATTTATAGATGATTAAACCACCATTTCTTCTGGGTTAAACGCTGTTAACCCCCCCATTTTTTGGCAAAAACGGCACGAAGGGTTCGCTCAGCTCACCGAGATTTGACTCCCCGGACCACTTCACGGAGTTCGCCACCTACGCCGCCTACGATGCGGTCTGGAAGCCTCGATTTCGGTGTTGGTTGATGTTGAAAATGGCCAATGAATGGTAATATCTTATTAACCAGTGATATCTTATTAATATCTTATTGTAATATCTTATTAACCAGTGATATCTTATTAACACAGGCAATATCCATTGTACAATATCTTATGAACCAGTGTTTAGTCACAAGTATTAAACTAACATAACTATTGAAAATGGCACAGTCGAAAAAGTTGATTTACCCAGCTATAAAATGGTGAAAATCTCAGTTCGCAAACTGTTGGTTTACCAGGCCGGTTATATTAATCCACTTTAATAGCTTACTGGTGCTAAACCTAGGGTTGCTGGATGAGTTGCTGGGGCAATGGGATGATGAAATTGATAGTGATGAAATGGATGAAAAAATTGGATCATTCCCGAAAATTCCCTACGTTTAGCACCAGTAAGTAGTTGCCAGAATGTGGTAAGATATGTCAATGCTATGTCAAAGTATGTCAAGCCGTCCCAGGATGTGATATTCCTGAAGTGTAGACAACCAATTCGGAATATGGTTCAATTACTCTTGCATAAACCAGATCATTCAATTACCCTACGTTACGTTTGGATTGACATGTTACTGCGTGTTGCCCCCCAATGTTCGGCAAAGGTGCATTTCACTTGGCCCATCTTGGCCATCAGATTGGTTTATGATCTACGAGGATGCTTTATATACATATGTATAACTATAACACATACATATACTGTAAATATATATATGTATATATATATATATTTACATGTGTGTGTGTGTATGTATTTGGATGGGTGAAGCAACCGGAGGGTAGGAACTTACTCGTCCCGCATATGATAATCCAGGTCTGGGCCGAAGGACTGCGAATCGGGAGGTTGGCTTTCTTCGGAGCCCGCAACGAGGTCTATACTTGGAAGCTCTTTCACTTCTTTCAGGAGTCCTTGCAGAAGACGCTACTTGGCCTCATCCAACCAGCGTGGTCAAAGCTGTGGCCATGAATCTTGGGGTGAAAAGAAGGGGCACCAGGGTTTATCCACAGGCATTCAGATAGATTGATGGATGAGCAGGTTAGAGTCAGATTATTTCTGGATTTGATGTGAATTTGACTTAGATTGGATTAGATTTACATTAGATTTAGATTAGGATTTGGTTCGGTTTGGCGTTTAGATGCGGATTTAGATTCAAATGTATAGATGGATAGATAGAAGAGTCATTTTTAATACTGCATGTACATGATCACTTTCTTATTTCTCGACAAGTAACAACTCGTTGTGGTTAACACCAATCAAAGCCAATTCAAACAATGTCATTGAGGCATGGATCTTGGATCTGCAAAAGATTCCCTATGGATTCCCCTATCAGCCATTCATCCAATGGTTACTTGGTGCTCCAGGATCCCCAAGAACCAGCACAGGTATCTATACAGACACGCCTTGTTTTACATATCGTGTTAGTCGTGTTTTGTTTAATGTTAACTTAGAAACTGGAAGGAGAACCATACCTATAGTATACGTTTATATATATATATTTATATATACATATGTAACTGTAATACATACTGTTTGATCTGTATATGTATATATATATGTGTGCGTGTGTGTTTGTGTGTGTACATGCTGTCAATACGTGCTTACTCCACCCAGTCATACGGCGGTAGATTGTTCTTTACAGGACCCCCAAGGATGAAATCCATAAGCTTCGCATCCCATTGGGTCCTTCCAGCCACGGCAGGGCTTGGAACAGTGGCGTGCAACGTCGCCCCATCGACAAGTTGCTGATGGACGATGCGGTGGCGGACGAACTGCGAGATTTGAGGCGCGGCTGGGCTGGGAGCTTTGCCAAGAATTGGATCTAACATGACCTAACCAAAATTAGGATTAAGCAACAAGAACTTGTGATTGAACCAGCCAACACTGGGGATGCAGCAAAAACTCATGATAAATCCCACAAACTCTGGGATTTGAGCTGCCACGGTTTTCAAGAACTGAAGCGCTGAGCATAGTGCCAGGATGACCCCCTCAGCAACTTGCTATATGTTTTATGAAACCACAACTGGGTAGACCTTGAGTAATTACTCACAGGATGTTTTTAGACCTGGGTATCTATGGTTTGCCATGTTATTCGACGTTGGGGCCCTCAACTCATTAAATTATGCTCGGACTCTCAGCAGTGGAAACGGTTCCAACATGGCGCAAGTACCGGGCTATGAATTTGGATTAATTGTAACGACCTCACTGCACCACATATATACATTATGCTTCGTAATGTTGAACATCCCCGCACGGCCGACACGTCATTGCAGGATAGTGTGAATCGCAAAGCCATCAAAATGCACAAAAATGCGAGTACAGAAACATAATCAAAAATCGGACTCAGGTTTTTGTCAATAGTGCCAAATGACAAGGAGCTGATTTTCCCATTGAACACACGGAATTACCAACAAACATGTTTTTGTGATTCTATGTTTTTAATGCGCCATGATGCATTGCCAGGTTGGAAAAAAAAGTGCCCACCTTCCGCTGCTGTGTCCCTTTTAGGCCCCAGCTCTTTCGCATGAGCCGCCCAAAGGAACAGGTGGGGTGTGTTTCAACAGTGGATGGGATAGTCAATGGTGTGTTTCAACAGTGGATGGAATAGTCAGTGGATGTCAGTGGATGTACTACAAGGGAACTCCTACGTAGTGGAAAGGATGCTGCCGTTACAATCTTTAGTGTTTGTTTCCCATCCATTGAATATGATTGAGTCCGTTCCTGGATATGAAATTGGATGGATACACATCTGAAATGGTTATGTTATAATCAACCGAAACTGTGATTTTACATGATTTTACTAGTGAGCAGGGACATGGTGCAGATTGTCACTTTGATCTTGGATTTTTTACCAAGAAACATCCGGCTTGAGACTGTTTTCACAAGCCATGTTCTCATGATTGGTGGTGTTCAAGATGTTGTTTTCTTGCCGACATAGTGGCCGGAGACAAATGATGGAATCACCGTGAACTGGTAGATTATGCTCCTGCAGTAATTGGTTGACACGCCGTTGGTGGTGGTGAAAATGTGCTTTTAAACTCGAACCCTGAGTATTGAATGATGGTCAGCTTCGGGGGGAGTTTGTTGAATCTCTATAGTTCCAATTCAGCGACAATGGCATGGGCATTCAATCGCAAAGCACATCACCAAGGAAACTCCGTGTTTGCTTTGTAATAGCCATCTATATAGCAATAGATTAATCTACATGTAGGGTTGACAAGTTAAATCACATTGTGTTTCCTGGCTACTGACATGGCTGAATTTCTCAGCAACGTTCGCAGAAAATGTCCGATGTGTAGCAACTTAACCAGATGTATCGACATAACTCATAGTAGTTTCGCAGATGATTCCGGATACTGTGGCCACCTGAATGACAGATCAAGTAAGACAAGCCAGTTTCTAGGGGTGGACTTGGGAGTGCATCCCAGGTATGATCAGTGGAGAATATGAAACAACTGAAACAACCCATGTTTGATGATACATAGCTTACAAACCACCAACCATTTAGCCCACATTATATACCTATTTCTGGCTGGTTGAACATCATTATAAATATAAACCTTTATAATATATATATATATATACGCATATATCACCATTATACCACTATTATACCGCTAGTAAAATGAGGCATGACTCTTCATATCTTTGCTCTTGGCTTTGCCGCCAGGTCAAGAATCGACTGCCTAGCAGTGGAGGTGCCAGCCGTGCCAGCTTATCCCTTAAAGATAGGATGGCTGACATGGCGAGCGGAAAATCACCAATCAATGGGCATCTGAATCTGAATTACCCGGCCTGGTAAACAGCCACATCACTATGGACAATCAGCATTTTTTAATGGGAACACTCACCATAAATTGCCATTTTCAATAGCTATGTTAAATTACCAGAGGGTATATATGTGATCTGAATTATATATATATAATGTGGGAAAATCATATATAACTGATATTTAAACTCTGGTGATCATTCACACACACACACATATATATATATATGTAAATTTGATGTTTTCACATCATATGTCCATAATATGTGAAATTCATCAAACGACATGGGGAATGTTTGATTCACACACCGTTCTCCCTGCAGGTGCAGCTGGCACCAGTGCGTCAGTGCAGCAGGACACAGGCGAGAAAGAGTGCGAGATCAGGAATTAACCATCGTGAAACAGAGTTCTTGGACCAAGACTTAGATAAGTTGGTTGGTGGTGCATGGTGGTTCCCATTTTTTTGCTAACTTTCTATGTCAGAACAATTGGATTAGTCTACTTTTCCTTAGCACCCCCTACCTGAAGTGGAGCCCTCCAACCCTGAGGCTTTTCATTTAGGGTGCCATTTCACTGATCGATAAGATTATACGGTTAGCCATTGGTCTTGAAGCGACAGCACATAACTTATCACAAATGGTGGATGGTCCACATCTATGTAGTGCTGGATTGTCCACGCAAGACTATCGACTTCCATGTGTTATGGTATGATTTCTTTATATGTTCAATCAGACAAACCTAGAAGCCAGCCAAATGTGCCAGGGTGAATGTGCCGTTTCCAAAGATAGGATGGACATGGACATACTCGAAAACAAAAAGTGCCAGGCAAGACGATGTGGGACTTCTACTCCGAGCATCTTGGATTTTGCTGAGCACTGAAGCCACCAACAAGTTGAACCCAAAGCACCAGGGAAGCATTGAATAATCCAATAGATCTAAGGGAATCACCTGAATTTCACGGTTCAGAGGGTAAAATCTTATCGGAAAGGGTATGAACCAGATGAACCCTGTTGTTTTGGTTGAAAATTCATTTCTTTGGTGAAACTAGCCATGGTTTCATGGTGAATTTGCCATCGTTTTCTGGTCAGTGATGGTCAAATCCATCCTTGCTGCTGATTGAATCATGCTGACTCCAAGGTATTTGTCTTCCAGATTCTCCGAATGCTTGGCATCGATGCAAGAACGAGGCAGAGAAATGGATCGTGTTTTTTGCCTGGTAGGAGCCATGCCATGGATCATGGTACTCCTTTCCCAACACTAAAGTTACTACCCTTCATGGTCAGTTGCTTCTTTAGTATTGGGCCAATAAAATCGGTTTCCTATACTACAGTGTGTAGCAGAAATCCATGGTCAGTTGCTATGGAAGATCATTGTGACAGAACGACAGGTAAATCATCGAACTTAAGGTATTTGGGATTCAACTCAGACTCAGATCAGACGATTATTTGGGATAATAGCCATAATAACTTCCATATTGTTAGAACGATTATTTGGGATTCAACTCAGATTCAAATCCTGGCCAAGGGTACCACCTGGTGCCGCCTGAAAAAATCGGTGCCGTTCAGACAAATAGTTTGCACAGAATATGCTTACAAAAGTGGTACCCCTTTTGCGACCGCCCTGGTTATATGTATATAATTGCATGTATATATATATATATATTCTGGATCCAATTTTGGAATTGAACAAAATGCTAATATATGTTTGGCACATGCTCGAGATGCATAGAAAGTAAACATCTATATCCTACAGTATGTTTGGGGTTCAATATGAGTCCAGTATATTATATAGTATCCACATGCATTTATTGATTCACATGTGCGTGTATCGTCGGTTTGCTGGGTAAAACAGCTAGGCTGATAGGCCATCACGACCACGTCCATGTCCCTGGTGAGTGCCTAGGAAAATCTGCGGGAAGTTGGAAAACCTGTGTATATTGGGATGCAAAAACAGCAAAACAAAAACATCTTTCCAGGATGTTATAGATGGTAAATCCAACACACATATGGCACTATTTGAGGAATCTTGTCTCTCTGGCCATGAAAGATGGAAAGGAGATGGTCATATACTATACCAGGAACTGATGCTGCTGATCGACAGTGTGGTTAGTGCCCACTCCGCCATATTTGCGACCACTACGGATGATCCAGTCACCTACATGGTAGCTACACCAAGATGCTTGTCATGTTTTGGTCCAATCACCACCCGTGATATAGAGTACCATGGCGAAGATCTGAACTTCACAGCTTTCCCATTGTGCAAGATCTTGTATGCCAAGGCTGAGGACATCAGCTTGCAGCACTATCATGACGGTCCTGAGGACCATGTGGCAGTCAATCGAGTGAAGACTCGCCATTTTCGACGCATTGATTTTGCACATGCAATGGCCTCTTCCTATGTGAGCGTGGGCAGGGCACATATCAGCTCCACAATCATGCCTTCCCACTCACCTCCAAGATGGGATCCGATACGCTTCAGCCAAGCTGAGTTCAGACTGGTCCCACTCACCGCTCTTGTTCAGAGAGATGTTTGCATCGATTTTCTACACTCTGAGTGAGTGACCAAAAAATCTGTCATGGTGACGATCGAGTCAGCAATTGGGAACTGGGCCTTTGTCCCTTTGGTCGCTAATGATTACTAAATTTATTAATGATTTTCAACTTTGGAACTCTTCAGTTTGGCGGATTGCTATAAACGAATCCATTGTTGGGCCACCTTTGGCGACTTGATGGGGTCACTTCTGCGGTCTGTGGTAAATCCCGAACAGATAGAACAGCAATTTGTCACTATTTTCACTGGTCTTTTCTAGTTGTATTTTTTTGGGGGTTGCCATATATGTGGTAAATTATAACGACCTCATTGTTCTCCCTCACTATAATCCCAAAATGGTCTTAATTCAGGGTAGTGAAATATTATAATTTACCCAAATATATGTATAGTATGTCAACTGTTTTTGTTTTAAAATGTTTTAAATGTATTCCATGAAGTCCACATCATATTCACAGTTTTGGTTGTACATCATTAGAGCTGCTTTTCTACCACTGTAAACATCATCAACACTCTATAATACCACCAATATATTAGAATTACCCTCTGGTAAACTAACATAGCGATGGAACATGGCCCATTGATAGATGGTTTACCCATTAAACATGGTGATTTTCTATAGCAAACTGTAACAAATTACCAGAGGGTAAACCTATGTAAACCTCCATTTTCCTAAGGTCCTAAGGTTTTCCTATGGGTTTTCCCGTTAAAACCACCATTTTCCTATGGTTTTCCTATGGTTTTCCTATGGTTTTCCAGAGGCCATTCCATCCCAGGGGCCTCCCCGTCGATCCTCGGAGGCATCTCGGTGGACCGTGCTCGGCTGCAAGAGATCGAGCGGCACGCCACGGAGGACTTGCGCAGGTGCAGAGTTCCGGGCTCCGGGAGAGGGCAGCGGGCTATGGCTTGAAAGAAGGTGGTTTCATGGTAGTTTACTGTTTTTTTTTAAAAAAAATATACAGTAATATAATATATATATATATACATATACAATTATAATACATATATATATATACACTTTTATTCATATATATATAAGTGTGTGTGCGTGTGTGTTTTTCAAATATGGTCTAATAGTTAGATATTCATGGATATACTTTCTGGGATTGAAACATGGCTTGCTGGAGAATCCACCATTTTAGATTCTCCTAGCAAAAAACTCCAAAAAAATGACAGAAAAAAGGGGATGTCTAGCCATGTTTGATCACAGGAGGCTAAGCAAAAACAATGTTTGTTTATTGGTACCCTGTGGTAAACATACAAAAAACTATGGAACATTACCATTTTTGATGGCTAAATCCACTATTTCTATGGCCATTTTCAATATAGTTTTGACTGTATGTTTACCAGGCCGGGTAAGTGATCGATGATCCAGTTCCCCAGATCGAACATGGCTACGGAAATCCGTGGGTGTCCCGTTTACCAAGGTTGGATTTTTATGGACTATCCGTCTCCATGTTAGTTTACTGGGGCGGGGATTGACCCCAAGAACTTGCCCCGACAGATCCTCGGCTTGTACCCTGTCATCAAATATGGCTGGCTGGGAATAGCATCTAGAAATGGGACACGTTCCATTGCCATGATTAGCTTTAGGACTTCCAATGTCCAGCTTGAAATGACACGGGAAATGGAAACCTCTGGTCTGATCGTGGATCGGAGGATGGAGTCCCAGTACAAAGAAATCCTGGGAGAGATTGAAGTGGAAGGCACCGTGATGAATCCTGATTCTGATGCTCGGCACAAGTGGAAAACATATTGGGAGGCAGCAACTTTTATAACTGAGCGAGTAACAATATATTTATTTAGGTTTTTCTGACATAGAGTGCTCCAAATTTTATATAATTGTTAATCACCATTTCCTCCACATTTTCAGCCAGACCCATGCAGGTGCAGGTGTGGGTAGAGCCAGAGTTGTACTACCCATTTGCTAGTGGTCACTTTTCATTCTGTGCTGTGACATGAGGGAGGTGAATGAGATGACAAAACTTTCAAAACCAACCCAGCCAAGAATTTCCGTTGCCTTTAAGATTCTGCTAGAGATTCTGAGAAAAACCATTGGCAATTGATTCAATCTGCAAAATATCCACACACGGATCATCCCGGATTCAATGGAGTACATCAACTTATGCTTCCATGGGGACGATGAACCCGATTCACACACATGTACCATCATGTACCTATATGATGCCATATGTACGTCTATTTGCCGATGCTTCTTGTATGTTTTGTTGCGCGTGTAGATCTTCCAAAGCCTGAGAGTCAGCATCACTGGGGTGGGCTAAGGGACTCATCAACCCGCAAAGTCACCAACAGTTGCGGCAGCTGCTGTTTGGAGGTGGGAGATTGTCGAGTCACCCGATGGCAATGACTGGCGGAGCACATTGTTCAAAGGAATCCCAGCCTTTGGCTAATAGAGGCTATTATACAATGTGAGGCCCGTAAGATAGCTAAGTTGGTTTATAACTCCAATAACTATGGTTTATGGCACTTATAACTATAGTTACTGAGGCTTATAAACCAACTTATAACTGGGGGGCCGCACATTATACTCCAATTTTCACTCACATACTGTGGACGGAAGAAATCCTGCACCAGTTAATACATGGTTTATCCCATTATTTGTAGGGTTTCAACCATCCAAGGTGGTGCAGGATTTCGTTCATCCACAGTATGGTGAGAAATCTTGGCCGGAACGTTCCTGATGTGTTCAACAGCATACAAGGGCAGAAATTTCAAGCAAATTCCAAGCAGTGCTCTCGCTGCCAAAAATATGGTGCATGGTTTTGATTCCAATGGGGCGTGCAAGCGCATGCAGGTATAGGAAGCCATGCGGCCATGCGTCCAGAAATCACCGAATTAACTCCATAGATGTCCTTTTCCCATTGTTTGGTTGATGAAAAAAGAGGGGTTTGAAGAAACCCCTTTAATAGCAGGTAAATGATGATAGATGGTATATACCAAACCGGCCCCTCTACTTTTACCAAAAGGACATTATTGATTCACTCATTCTTGTTGATCGGTTTGAATGCAACTATTCTTTTGCGGATATTCGATTGTTTGACCCGGTCAAAGCCACAGGGGTCCGAGGCCCGCCCAAACCAATTAGTATAGTCCCATTATTTTCATTACGAACAGAAGCACCGTTTCATGTGGGATCCACAACAAAGGGCCATTGTAAATCACCCGAAGCAGGGGTATGCCCCATGATAAGCCCCTGCTGTCGGGGATGGTTTCTTACAGTTGAGGTCCCCACAGAGTTTGGTTCTGTTTCTAGCATTGACCGTAACGTATTGAACGTTGACCATTCACTTTGGGTTACCAGAACCATTAATGGTTACCACAATCTTTGCCCATACCCATGTAGGATGAGATATGGTTCCGCAAGTTGAAGGGTTTTACATGGTTTTACAATGTTAAATCATTGAACTGATCAGCGGTCAGCGGTCAGGGACCAAGAATATCTTCGATGAGAGCGAGCAATTGGAGGCCAACGGGCCGCAGGGTCCCAGGAATCGTCAGGTGGACCGTTTTTCACCATCATTGGGGGTTCACCGGCCTGGTAGGGGGTTGCTTCCTCATGACGACTTGTCAGTAGCCAAAGTATGCTAAAGTTACCATCTGGTTATGACTAACAGTTTGCCATGGAAAGATCCACCATGCTATTAATAGGTAAACCATCTATAAATGGTCCATCTCCCATGGCTATGGTAAATAACCAGAGGGTATATAAAGTTATAGCTTCATCTAACACGTTTGAGGGACTTTCTAAAGGCTTGTTCGACAGTTGTGGGGTGTCAAGAAGGGTGCTGGGAACATCTGGGAACCATCGTCCATTTTCCAGGATCACGTTGGGTCATTCGCCAGGGTCATCACGTTTTGTTTTTTCTTTCCACATGTGCAATTGGTGTTGTTCCAAACGTGGTTTACATTTTATAAACCAACAGCAGTGAATTCTGAAAGATGGATGGATCAGTTACATTATTTGTTTGGTTTCACAACTGGGATGCCCGGATGCCCATCCACGATCATGTAGTACCTACTTTGTAGTGAATGTTGGTTCAATCCAATCTGTTTGATGATTAATTTCCCTTTGTTGATGATCCACAGTTCGCAAGATTCTTGGGCTTACTTTTCTCAATAGAATGGCAACCTGTTAGATGATCATCCCATTTTGTAATTCCCTGGTCAGCAAGTCCCAAGGTATCCCAGGTTCTCAACTGTAGTAAATGGTATCAATTTGTATTTAACAACCCTATATATCCATCACGCATTGATTGGTAGATCCATCATCCATGATCTCTATATTGTTCTTGTGTTGGTATTGGCTCAACCCCCCCAATTTATGAATAGCCCGGTATATCTACCATTACCCCTAACTGACCTATTCATAAACCGACTTTGCCAACTTATATGGGGCGCCACCCTCTATAGCCTCTATACACTCCCATGATATTCCCATTATATCCCCATGATGTTGCAATTCCATCCCATTATATCACAATTTTGGAAGCTTAAATCAACAGTAATCCTATGAATAATCCCATCAGCACATTTAAATTTCATTAAGTCTATTGAATTTCTGTTAAATCACCATGAAATCCCATGAAATCACCATTAAATCCCAATAGATCACCATTTGAATAGGCTCATAACCATCATTTTTCAGCGACCACTAGATCGGCCGACGCTCCACAAAAAGCCCTTGCAGAGGCCACCCGGGACTTCTCAGTGCCCAAGGGCGCCAAGGCCTGAAGATTGGAAGGGAATGGATTTGCTTCATGGCAAAACTATTATGAATATATGATATGGGAAAACTGACTAGACATGGGGGTTAATTAATTGGGATGTATATTTTGGATATAAATGCAAACAATTACAATATATACAGTGTATCTGGCCTGCAGTTAAGATAGTCAAATAGTATTATGCAATTTTTGAGCCTTCCATGCTAGCATCAACAAAGAGGAAGTTCGGTTCCATTACCTGTGCTACTGGAAGAAGTTTCTGAATCGGTAACTTTGAATTGGCTTAGTCATTATTTAGGTCTGATTATATTATGTTGAATCACCAATCACTTTAAGTATATGCCATGACTTGCCTGTACATGAGGCGAGACAGATCAGCATTGAACTGCATTTCGAACGATTGTGATTGCGATGATCTTTTTGTGAGGGATATTCAGATTGAAGAGGAAATGGTTTTGGCAGAAGAGAAGATCCAGGAAGAGGGTGGGGAGCAGCAATGAGATTAGCTTCGACCTACATTTGATTAGCCTTAGCAGTGGTGATTGCCCATTGAGCGAACCTTGGGATTTGGGGAAAGGAATGCTGGCTGCTGATTCTGTTTGTGCGGAGATGACCCCAAAGTTTCAAATGGGTACGTGGTACAAGCCTACTACTGAAAAGGAAACCGAATGAATTCGCAGCGAATTCCCATCCTGAATATTTTGAATTTTCCACCTGTACTTAAGCAAATCACCTTGTACAGGAGGGGGGCTACCAACCCCCATCCCCTGTGAGGTCCTGAGCGCTCAGGACCTTGTACCTCCTCGCCCCAGCGTAGATTGGGGCAGGCCGTTTGACCTTGTAACCCCCTAGTTGGATTTTTTTCATCTGTAGTTAAGATAGTCACCTCGAGGTGGTACAAGGTCCTGAGCGCTCAGGACCTCACACAGGAGGGGGGCTACGGACCCCCATATGCTGTGAGGTGATTTGCTTAAGTACAGCCTTACAAAAAATATTGGTCACATTATGATGTTCAGCAAATCATCTTGTATTGAAAAGCTGATTTACCAAATCATTTGAACTAATTATGAATTGTTCATTCATAATTTCATAATATTAATTAACATATATTTACACATTGTTTGAGCAAATTATGATTGAACAATTCATAATTAAACTGGTTGCAATTCAGATTGATGGGCACCAGAAATGGGAACAGATTCTTGTAACAACAGTGACTGATAATTCCTGCTGCTGGGTGACCAGGTCTTCCTTATTACATCATACTCGGTTGATGGTTCCTCCCACATTGGGTCAAATGACTTGTCATCCTATCAAGATATGATACCATTCATTATGATCCATTATTATTGATGGATTATTATAGTAAAAAGTAATATCCCACGAATTGAAAAATTGCCATGGGTCATAGGCTTTTGGGTTTTGGGATTACATTGATAATGGATTATATGGATAATCGCTATAAATCATGTGATTATGGCCGATTTTTTAGGTTCAAGATCACAACTTCAAAGAAACAAAAAGTACTATTTGACTATGCTAACACCACCCCAGGTATATATATATATAATGTTTAGTATGTACATATTTGGGATGTTGTTTATTTCAATCTAGCGGAATTATAATGACAATGGAGTTTACCGCTGGTAAAATCCTTGGAACTATGGGACATGATCCCTTGAAATGGAAGTGTTTATAAGTTTTTAATAGAAAAATAACCGGCAAATGTGGGGAACAAAGACCTATAACTGGAGGTGATCTTCGCTGGGAAGTTGCTGGGATATCATTTGAACATATGCCGGGTTATCAATGCCGGATTTTTGATTGCCATGTGTGATGATTGGGATACTGACATATACTTGCTAGTTGGTGGTTTCAAACATTTTTTTATTGTCCATAATATATGGGATAATCCTTCCCATTGACTAATATTTTTCAGAGGGGTTGAAACCACCAACCAGCTTGTTTTTTTTTTTAGTGGGATATCATTGGATCGGGATTATATGGGGATAGAATGGGTTTTCAAACGGATGATTTTTTGGTGATGTGACTTACCGCAGAAACGCAGCATTTGGGGAATTCATTGAGGTTATGTTTTTTTTTGGGGGGATGCCTTAAGCAAATCCAAGTAATGTTGGTAAAACAATAATTAATCAGACCCCGGTCATCACCATAAATAGGTGGTATAAACCATTCCCAAATGGGTGGTTTATGGCATTGTTTTCCCACATTAATGGAATATGAAGTTGAGATGATGAAAATTCATGGTTATGGGATGGGATGTAAGAATCGAATCGTCGGGGATAGAGCAAAAATATAATTGGTGATTTAATGTGATGTACTGTATATAATGCATGTTTTTTCTATGTATCTGAATTTGTTGTGGCTTGGTTTTGTTTAGATCGGGTTTGAATGGGGATATAGCCAACGTAGAGATAACATGGATATTTCATGGAGATGTTGAAATGGGCCGCCAACAATACCGGCGGATGATTCCGGATGAGTACTTGAATATGGTGCTATAAATTGGGATATTTGCAAGGCAACCATGGCCATGTTGGAAGAACCCTGTCAACCGGGGCTGGATCGAAGCTCCTTGTGCAGCTGGAATCGCTGGTTCAACTATAGTTATTGCTAGGTCAAATCGCCCTGGTCCTATGTATACCGTATACCCTCTGGTAATTTGACATAGCTATTGAAAATTGCCATTTATAGTGGATTTTCCCATGAAAAATTGTGATTTTCCATAGTTATGTTAGTTTACCAGAGGGTACATCACATGTTTTGCTGGATCAGCATCTTTAGATATTATCTCTAGCGGCTTAACTATGTCAACTTTGAATTCATATTTTGCCAGAAAATCGCTGGCGGAACATTCACCTACCAGCTAGTTGTTGCAGGGTTCCAAGTAAAGATGTTTTTCTTTTGCAGGCTATAGCACGTAATTATTTTCTAAGTATATCCCAGTGATATTCTGATGATCTGATGATACTCCAATTACTCCATGTATTGGTTGCATACTGGTTGGCTGCGGCGATCCCTCATTTAACTGCGATCTTTAGTGCCTTCAATCACCATTCGCCACATCAGGCCAAAGATGGGTCCAAACTGCGTTCATCGGAGTGGCTTGGAGGATTGCACCATGACGAGGTGAAACCCCAATGAGTTATATTAAACTACAGGTAATCATAATCCATTCTGGTAGTCCGGTAACCCCTGTTTTCAGTTATATTAATTGCTATTCAAACATGTTGTTTAGATTTGGCAAAGATGGTGGTATCGTCGTATAGTAGGATAGAATGGGGATGTGCTATTTTTTCTGATGGGTGTATAGCTGGGAAAAAATATCGACTTCACAGGCCGATGTCACGACGCCAGTGATGGTTTTGGAGCTGATGGAAATGGAGGCGAATGTGAAGAACATGCAGCCCCGGCGCCCTTTCTTGGCTTCGCTGGCACTCCGAAGGCCGCCGCAAACAGCACCGCTACCCCGAACTCCTCAGAGGCCCCCACCGCTTCCTATAGTCCTTGGGAGCGAGGTCGGCTGGTGCTGGAGATATAGAATTCGGGAATCATCCCAAAAGTTGGCGACTCAGTACAATCTAACAAACATTGCAACAGAAAATCCCCCATTGATAGATGAATTTCCAGGTAAAGCTTCCATTCATAGGAAATTTTGCAGCCCAGCCACCTTTCATTACCGGAGGGTAAACCTTGATTTTTGCCGGTAAAATTCCCCAGGCACATGGTCAACCTTGTCCTTGTTAGTGAGCCAGAACGAGAACAAAGATGACAGAGAGACTAGAGTAATCAGCTAAGTTTTTTTTTCAAAGTATTAAGTATTTGTCAGATTGGCCAGGAGACCGGACATAATTAATTTTCTTCTTACTAATAACACCACTTAGCCGTTTAGGTGGGAACCACAGAATAACCACTATAGACTGTAGTCTTTAGATTGGCTATGAAAACTAGTATTGTTTTGGGGGCCGTTTATTTTTGGGACAGGGAACTGTTTTAACACCAGTTAAACTCAAGCAAGACTGCAGTGGAACTGATGACCCCATCAACATGTTGTGGTAACAGGTAGGAGGCCGTCACCAATATCTCACGCCACGTGGGCGTGGTTCCGTGACTACAAGTATTATCGGGATATTTCGGTGGGAATACGGAACCCACCTTGACCCCCAAATGTTCCAAATGCAAATCATTGCTCTGTCTCATTATGTTTTGTTCGCTTTGTTCTTAATTAGTTTTGTTTTCTGTTGTCTTGTGGTCCCAGATGAAATCGCTAGGCCTCAAGGCATTATATACATGCAACATCATGTAACCCCAACCCTATAGGATACAATCACCACAAGTGTTTGGTGGATTGAACTACCGTTTACCATCCTACTTTGGATCGTCCCAAATGGCTATATATATAAAAATGAATATATGCATATATATATATTACAATATATTATTATTATCATTATTATTATTATTATATTTATTATTGTTCTATATGTATATATAGAGATATATATTATCTCAGGGAGTGAAAAACCACCAGCCAGTCACTATTGGATAAAATTAACCTTGTTTGGTGGCTAAACAATTCCCTGTTTACAAGTGATTTCCCATCAAGACTCGCTGAGGCGCTTCACGATCGAGAGTTGGGGCTTGGAGCCTGCCGCGGGGCGCAAGATGTTCACCAAGAAGGGATGGCCCTCCACTGGCAAGGCGCCGGTGAGGGCGGGTGTTTCTCCTCGATTTCAAGTATGGCCAAAAAATAATGATGAACAATAGGAAACACGTGTAATTAATTAATATTAATTATAGACATACATTAATATATATATATACACATATGATATATATATATAGTTATTATATATATATATATATATACAACGCGTCCAGTTATTTGTATATTAGGAACTGGCCTACTTACCAGCCTCACGGGCAACCAGAGTTTGAAATCGGAACTAGGCACCACGGTTCAAGATAAATTTGAATATATTTTGTGAGTGCTTTATAATTTATAACATATGTCCTGAACGCTTTGAGATCAACCTTTTTGCAAAAAACATGATATGGAACCGTTAAGAAACCGTGAGGAAATGGGCTGGAACCGTGAGAAAAGGTGGTGCAACCGTGAGAGAAAAGCGGTGGAACCGTGAGAAGAGCTTCGCACGTTTATGAGCCACAATATTTTGGTTGCCTCACGGTTTTATTTTCGATTATTTTAGGCTATCATCAAAAGAATCATAGTGTTTATCATATTCCCTATGCGTGGTTCCTCGCCATTTGGCCTGGTTCCTATGGAATCAGTCGCCGGGGCCCAGTTACCTATGAGACAAACCCCCAGGAGCCCTTGTGTTTTTTTCTAAGATTGTTGAAAGTTCTTTGAATTGTGTTGAAGGCTAATTTGCAGGAAGCCTTCCTTGTTGTGTTCGATGGCGGAATGTGTGGAGACCTGTCAATATTCTTTATTTGTTTTTGCTGCACTTATCTTTGATTCAACCCAGTCAAGATTGGGTTGGCCCACAATCTAAGAATCTGAGACTGTGTTGTTTTTTGAGGGTGATCTGTGTCTCTTCTCCCAAGCTGTCTGCAGGAAGCATTGGAAAAGTTGCAGAAGGATGAAGCGCAGAATGCCCTGATGCCCCAGGAGACGTCCCGGCCCAGTGGTCGATGGTTCGAATGTGTTCGATATTCGAAAAGGATATGATGTCAACCACTACCCTCTGGTAATTTAACATAGCTATTGAAAATACCCCATTTATAGTTGATTTACCTATTCAAAATGGTGATTTTCCATAGTTACGTTAGCTTACCAGAGGGTAGAAGCAAACATATTCAGCAATAAATTACCCTCTGGTAAATTAACATGGCCATACAAAAACATGTTTTCTATTAGGTAAATCATCCATAAATGCACCAGTTTAGTTATGTGAAATTGTCAGAGGGTCTGTGTTCCATGACCTCGTCTCGCCTCCTGTGGGTCTAGCATGAGCTAGCCTTACTTTCTAAGGAAGACTGTGCTATGAATTGGTGGTGTTTGTAGCCCTTCTCAAGAATGCATTTGGATCCACAGGCTAAGTGGGAGTTCATTCCCATTATAACACCATTGTTATCCATCATTACCATCCATCATTGCTGGTTAAGCCCAAATATACAAACTACACCATATATTAGGGATGATTAGATTCCCATGGCATCAGCAATATTATTCCCAATTTACCACTTGCTAGTTAAACATGTGTTAGTCTTAAGTTACATTAGGGATTCAAGTCCCATTATACTATCAAGTGGGATGATGTTCCGATTTTGATGATATTTGAAAAAATCTAATTGCAAAAATCCTATCAAAATTCTAGTTATAAAAATCCCATAAAAAATCTAATCATAAGATTTTAAAATCTATTATCCTATAATATTTTAAAAAAATCTCATTTTGATGATATAAAGATCCTGATTGTCGGTTCAAATCATCATTGGATCGTTTTGTTTCGACCGAGGTGCAGCAGCAATTGGAAGCCAAAGGATGGGATCCAGTGATGGCGAAGAAGGCGCCGCCCGGGCCCTTTTTGGGGCGAACAATTGATATGTCTATTGTACAAATTGTAGGTTATAAAATATTCGAAAACTGGTGTATCTATCTATCTATCTATCTGTCTATCTATCTATATTTCTATCTATCTATCCATCCATCCATCCATCTTACCCATCTATCCATCTATCCATCTATCCATTTGTCCATCTATCCATCTATCCATCTATCTATCTATCCATCCATCTATCTTATCCATCTATCCATCTATCTATCTATCCATCTATCCATCTATCCATCTGTCCATCTATCCATCTATCCATCTATCCATCTATCTACGATCATTTACATGTATGTACCGTTACATGCGATTGCACACACACATATGTATATATTCAAATATGTATATATATATATATATATGTGTTGTTGTTTCTCCCGGCACATTTGGCAATCGACGAGCGTAAACTGATGGATTTAAGCATGAAAGGACAGGCCTTCAGCCAGAAGAAATGGGAATATAACTGACAAAGTCCGTTTTTTTTGGTTATTCCTTGGGATTACGATTTCTGTTGCCAAAAGATATTTTTTTAAACCAATCATTATCCATGTACCTAGATATATCAAGTATATATATATATATTATATAATATATATATATAAGTATTGCCCTCCCTTTCTATTAAACATCCCTAAATGTCCCAAATATTGCTGGGGCGTTTTCTCGGGGGTGTGTAACATGAACGGGGGAAGGAAACCCCATTCTTGACGTCTATGGCCATCATTAACCGTACCAACATATTCCATTTTAATTATACATGTTATTGATTTTATTTTGTTTATCCACTTGTTTTCCGATCATTATCCAGGTGGATTATAACCTTCATGTTTTTCATTAAACCACACTTCTTTATTCCAATTATTTTTTCAAATACCAAAGCTTTTTCATAGCCCATCATAGTTGTCCCTTATATTGTCCCTTAGGTTGGGCACTCAACATCGAGCGTTTTTCGCTCAAAGCTCCAGCGGATGCTTCTTCCGATGCCGAGGCCAGAGTTGCCTCTGGGCGGATGGATTTTACGGTTCCTGGAACATCAGGCGGTTTGCATGGGAGTCCTCTCACATGTGATTCATTGTCAGCTGGTGAAGACGGCGCCGAAATGACCTTTCCGCAGTCATGGACTCCTTTGGTGCCCATGGACGTCGCGCGAGATGGAGCTTTCGTGACTTGGAGAGACCTTGGATTGTGACAATAACCATCAGCGGCGAAAGATTTTTACGTTCTGTGGGCTGTCAAATAAAAAAACGAAAAACATAGTATATTCCATATATAGATGACCATTGAACCACCTTTAAATTCCATTACCTTCTGGTTATGACTAACATAGCCATGGAAAATGGTCCATCTATAGATGGTTTACCTATTAAAAAATTTGTTTTTCCATGGCAAACTGTTAGTCATAACCAGAGGGTAAATCACAATTTACATCAATTTGGATCACAATAAACTGGATTATTACTATCCATATAAACCACCATATAAATGGCTTGGATAATTACTATCCATAAGGCCATTAATGATCAATATGGATAGTGGTTTATTTGGTTTATTACTATCCATATAAACCACCACTTTCCGTAAGATTCAGGCCATTTTTCATGGCCAAATAAGCACCACCTCGAAGGCATTTGAAGCGATGGAGATCTACCGCCAGATGGCCTCCGTCAAGGCCTGGTGATGACAAGGGCTCGTAAGGGATGTGATTTGCTAAAAGCTATTGAAAATGGCCATTGAAATAGTGAGTCTTCCCATTAAAAATTGTGTTTTTCCATAGTTATGTTAGTTTACCTGAGGGTATGATAATCTAATAACATCAGAATAATGATCATCTATGATCCCGTGACTGATTGTAGATCAAAGACATTCATAGGCTATAGATCATAGAATGGGGGTTATAGATTATAGATCTAGATGATTGTAGATGATCTTTGCTTTATATTCCTCGTTTTCCACTGAGTCTGAGGGTCCTTGGGCCAAAATGATGCCTCGCTGGCTGAACTCACCATGATGGTCAGAAAGGTTAGTCAAACCAAACAAGGCATATGTCTGGTAAACAATAGTCAGCACATATTACTTAGGCAAACCCCAAAAAATCTAATGTGGGTAAAACAATAATAAACCATCCCCCAAATCACCATAAATAGGTGGTATAAACCGTAAACCATTCCCAAATTGGTGGTTTATGGCATTGTTTTAACCACATTATCCCAGAACCAACCATTTGGGTGTCATTTTAGCTTCATAATACAGCCAAGCCGCCGGGTTCGTTGGGATGGTTCACAGCATTTTCGGAGCCACGGGATTACCTAACTGGGTGGGTAATCCATCGCATTAAGCCAGATTAAGCCACACGATGGCCCAATTACCTGGAAATTTGTTACATAGCTATTGAAAATGGCACGTTCAGTTTGTTGATTTACCCATTAAAAAATTATTAAAGATGGTGACTTTCCATAGCTTTTTGTAGAGGCTACAGCTACAACCTATTCTATACCCATCGGATCCATGTATGCTATATATGGTAACATTTACCATCAATATACCCCAAATGTTAGCATATATACCATACATGGGTCCTATGGGATATACTATTTCACAATTTCACAAATGTCCACGGCTCCCTCGAGCCTCGGGCAGAAAATCCTGACGGCTTTCGCCCGGCCGATGCAAGAACATGTGGCAGCCACAGTTGGGACGAAGGAAGATGGGAAAAAACTTGAGGTTTAATTGATGGAAAATGGAAAATGCTACTTCGAACCATAATTGCAGTTAGTCCGTTTTTTTAAAATGGTTTGATTGGAAAATACTGGGATATGACTGGGATCATATTGGACTTACCCTCTGGTGTCATCAAACATCGCTGGGAAGTCCGAACCAAAATGGAGATGTTAATTTTAAAATCTTAAAATCATGGAATATAAATGGTTTTGCCATTGATGTGATTGATTGCCAAGGGGTAAGTTGCAACACTGGTGTTGGGATTTCGATGTTTAATTGATAGAACCTTTGATAGCACAACACATCTTCATGTTTCAAGCCCATTTGCCATTGGTTAGCATATACATGTTTCCATATATATATATATATACATATGCCTAAATAAAAACGAACCAACTTATAAGTATATATAAGTAGAAACAACATATCAAATGCAACTGGTCATGAATACATATATATATATATATACATATACATATAGTATATTTGTAGAACACACACATATATATATATATATATATTACATACCTACCTACCTACCTGCATACATGCATGCATACATACATACATACATATATATATCAATATATATTGGATTACGCCAAATCTCATTTTGTTTTTTACGGCTGAGCGGCCGAGGCTTCTGAGATGAACCGCATTCACCCCAGTTGGTCGTCCGGGCTCTCGGCGGGCGGTGCCCCACGATGTTTCCCTTCAAACACGCCCGGGATGAATAGGATATAGATGGTTTACCTATTGAAAATCATAGATCTTTCCATGGCAAACTGTGAAATAACCAGATGGTAAAGATATATTTTGACCTAATGACTTACTTGTGCTTAGTAGGGAATGAGGGAATGATACACAATAATGATCAATAATAATCCCAGCAAACCCCATTCCCATCCATTCCCATTTTGGGCACAACATATTTATATCATATTTATACATCACAAAGCAGCAACAATTCAGGTGTTATCAATAAAACAATCCTTTTACATATGTATTTTTGTTTTTTTGCTACTTTGATAACATGTTTCATGTTTCATGGACAATGCAAGCCCCAGTTGAAATTTCAATTGCATCCATATTGTCATATTGAATATCATTAAGATGTGCATCAAAATATGTCTACATCATGCCTAATGCATCACTATTTGAAAAATGACTCAATATATCTTTGATATGCACGTTTTGTACATTTAAAGGACAGATTCATTGAATAGAGACAGATAGATATATATATATAGTGTCAATAGTGCCTATATAGACATCATCTATGCATATTTATTTCTGAACTCTCAGAACCAGCAAAGTCAAATATATATATATATATATATATATAGATACTGTCAACCGAAACCTCCTGAGAAATTCATCCATTGAATCAAGGGGATATACATATGATAGGTATATACTACCCTAGCCAACTAGAAAAATGCATTTTTCTCCACAGGAACCCACCCATGGCCATGTGATATCATAATTATGTTCCACCCAATTCCATCAAAACACATGTGTACTCACACATAGATACTGTGTACCTTATACATGCATGCATGCATGCATGCATGCATGCATGCAAGCATGCAAAGATACATACAGACAGACATACAGACATACACATGTCTATAGCTGGAGATTTTGGAACCAAGTGCACCCAAGTACCAAGTATAGTTGGTGGGACTTGCGAGCAGCTCTCGTCCACCATGGAGAAATCATCCAAAGTACCAGGCCATTGGCAGAGCCAAACAGATGACCCGCAAGTCACTTCCTCACACAATATATCCATACATATTTCGTTTGAATATATATATATATATACACAAACTTTTATTTACATATATATATATGATATATATATACACACAAACTTTTATTTACATAATATATATATATATATATATACACTTGTATATGTGTTATATGCATGTATATTTGGAAGCTCCGAAACCACCCATTGTCTGAGGTACGGCACCTCCACTGGACGGCTGAGCTGCAGCAATCCGAACCTGCAGGGGATCCCCGCGGACAGCAAGGACGACCAAGCTGGGCCCCGGGAAGGCTCCGTGGGTGCCCCGTTAAGGCCGCTCCTAATCTAACTGGGTTCCCTGTGAATCAATGGGTCATGTTATGATGATAGTTCCCCCCTAATTAGTTGGTTATAGTTGGTTTATAGTTCCCTATTAACTTTGGATCTACGTACCATGAAGCCTAGCTGTTGGAGGTGTAAACCAACGTAGCGAACTAACTAGTAAGCACAATTTGGTTATTAAAACAACCTACCATTTCTGGGGCCGGCATATCCAAGTAGCTGGCAACTTGTGAATGAATGATTATATTTATACACGCATATAAATACATGATCATACTATGATTATAATATATATATACACATCTTGTTGTGCATATATATACATATGCACTTATAAAAAAAATATATATATGTGCGTTTTTTTTGAAGTGTATGCACTATAACTGTGTGGCGAGTCGGTCCAGTGGTGGACGGTAGCGGCAAATAGTGGTAGACAACTGTTTCCTGTGTGACAAGCCGGGTCCATGTCGCCTCGTTTTTTTTGGTGTTGACTTGATTAGAGGAAGTGGATTTATCTTGCCCCAAAATATGGGTTACTTGATATTATATAACCATGCGTTGGGAAGGCTTGAGAAGGCTGGAAACCTGGAATTTCATTGGGAAACTATAATTTTTCTTATCCTCGAAGACACAGTTCTATGTTTCTATGGGTTCCTTATTTTGTCGAAGCTATTGGGCTGTTTTCTGTTGTCACTAGTCAATTCAATTGGGTTTGCTGTATTGTGTATGTATACAGCTATTTGGGATGATGCGAAACGACCCCCGTATGGTTGCTTGCTAGTTGCTTTGTTTTTTGCTTTAAAAACTTTGTATTTAGTACTCAGGTTACAAATATATATATATATGTGTGTGTCTGTGCATACATACTTTTCTTATATAGGACCCCAGACCACTGAACCCACACATAAACTCTCCAAACTGCGAAGAAAACATTGCGAATACCTGAAACATGTGCTAAATGGTACCATGCACATCCAAGTACAATATAAAGCAATAGCCCCCCAATTATATCTGTATATTCTATCCACATTATATATGAACCACCACATGTGATAGTTAAATCCCCAATAATGACTGGAATGTCACATATTTGATAACTCGTAAACGGATAAATAACTGGTGTTTTCGGTTTATCTATCAAATAATATGATTCATTGGCGCATATCAAATATATACTGGGTCGATCCATATCAAATATATATATATAATTATATATATATAGGTTTATACTGGTATCAGATACCCTGGGTTTTTCACATGAAAACACCAATGGGTTACCGAAAATCGCGGCATCGACCATGGAGAGGACACCTATGGCGTGCGGGGCGCTTTCATTGCAGGCGAAGGTGACCGGGACCGTGATGTCTGCGTCCAGTGGTGTCCAGTGGTAAAAGTAGGATAGTAACCAATAAAAATAGGGATTTATGCTGCAAAAATGTTGATTGATAGTTGATATAGTTGATTTTAGTTAGTTAGCTAAGTTGGTGAACAAAACTCCAATTTCACTGGGGTTTATGACACATGTATCTATCGTGAATGTGTGAACAGGGGCTAAAAACTAACAAACGGCACTGGGGGAGAACCACCTTGTAGCCGCTGCAAATATAATGGGGATACAGTGAGGGTATAGTGAACAGTTGGCTATTGAATGGTGATATAACATGATATAACTATAACTAGCATGTCTAGCTGTAATACTGTAAGGGTGGTATGATGTGAATAGACTGGGGGTATCAATGGTGATTGGTTGATACAGCTAAGCAGCAATATCATTTGAATAGATGGATTTAATGGCGATACAGCGCAACAACTGGGGTTTCGTGAAATGATGGGATTAATATTGTTGAATGGCGTTTAATGAATGAAGTTAAATTTAACTGAACATGGGTAAAATGGCTATAAAATAGTGAGAAAATGGTGATAGCATGGAATATACAACCAACAACAATGATAGGGTATCATCGGGGTGTCACGTCAACTATTTTTGGTGTATACAATGTGTACAATGTGAATAATATAGTAGATAAATGGTATAGGCCGCAATATAATAACATGACATTTTTGTGTGTCTGAAAACTGGATGTACAGTGACAAGGTCTTGGAAAAGCCCCAGAACTTTTACAGTTTACAGACAGATGCCTTTACACACGGAGGCTTTCACGCAAAGAAGCTTTTACACACAGAAACTTTTACACACCGATACTTCACACAAATATGTTTTTGCACAGCGCGGCATTTACGCACAGACGCCTTTATACACAGACGCTTTTACACAAAGACGCTTTCACACAGAAACTTTTACACAGAGAAACCTTTGCACAGAACAGTTTTACACAAAGAAGCTTTCCTCCCCCCAACCAAAAGCAGGCAAACATGCATTTGAGCTTGGATTGTTTGATCGTTTCCTGTCGTTTCCCTTCCAGGTAATGAGTGCTAATGGATGACACTGGGATATCCAGATATCCACGTATCTAGGTTTGTCCTTTAGATTCCCTTTCAGCATTCTATAAATGGCATGACGCCCACGCCCGACCCTCTTCTACACACAGACGTCATTACGCGCAGCAGCCTTTACACAGAGCAATTTCTATGCGCACATGCTCTTACACAGAGGGGTTTGTGCACAGAGAAGCTTTTACACACATGTTTGAAACAGCGCACTCTTCGGCCGAACCTGCACTGTTGCTGTTTGAACTCCTGTCCGTCTGTCCGCCTTGTTGCTTGCTCTTTCTGATCAGCTACCTACCTTTCATGTTCCCCTTAGCAAGTATATATAATTATATATATATATATATCAATCACCCCTGGTTAGTTGGTAGTGGATCTAAATCCCAGCTGCACATCTTTGTCCTCATGAGGGTCCATCGCCAGGCAAGACTTTCATCATGGCGGACTATTCCCAGCTGGAGCTGCGCATTTTGGCGCCCCGCCTCGAGTGCTGGATCTTTGTAAACCACAATTGTTTTGCTGTTTTCTAACTAGGGCTAGTGGCAATCTGCCAGATAAAAACTTTGGGAACATATTTGATGGCTATTGATGTCTATAGTTTACCATGCGAGCTTACCATAAACCAATTGTCCATGTTCATTTCGCCATGGGCAGCCATGTTTTCTTTTTTGTTAGTTGTCAGGGGACGTTTGCCTCATATACACCGAGGAACCCTGGGCTGTTTTAGGATGTTAAGGGGAGGCTCGAAGGTCCTGCAAATTGTAGGCTGAAAAATCCTTAGGTTAAGCACCACTTGGTAGGATCAATGTGACGGCCGAGGTGTACGTTTTCATAGGTGCTGATCTCTAACCTGGAGATCAGAATGTCCTTGGATTTGGTTTCAAGATTTGTGAAGCATGTTGTCCTGCTTTAACACCTATGATGGCTCCACTTGAGGGCGTTTGATTGGTTGTTTACAAAAACAACCAATCAAACCAATCAATCTACCCAATCAAACCAGTGTAATTACTAAGAAAGTGTTCATCAGATGCATGTTCCATCCGTTGAAAAATAGCAGGGAGAAACATCAAATTGACAAACATATCTCTTGTGGCACGTTTCAGTCAGCTGGTTCAACCATCTACCAGATCAACATGCTGTCGGAAGGGATCACACTAGCAGCAAGCCATCATACAAGGAATACAAATGTATAGATTTATAGGTATATAATATGTATACGTACTATATTCATATACATTTGCCTAAGCAAATGACTGTATATACAATATCGACCGTACAAATGATGCATGTACAGGCGCATGCTGCTTCCGAATTCCATACCAGAATGCCTCATTTTGCGCATGGGTTTGCACATCCCTGATTGCACCGATGAATTCAGTTTATTTGCAATGGTAAATGCTGTATGTTCAGAGTATTGTAATATTCCACAAGATGCCGCCATTTTTTCCCCATTTAACATGGTTGGCTTTTTACCCCTATGTATCACATCCCAGTACATCATAAATTACAGCGGGCAGATCACCCCGATTCTACCGTTGTTTGAGGCAATCTGTTTGTTAGTTTGATACCACCAATCTTGAGTCCCAACCCCAAACATGTGGCGACATGGTGCAAGGCGCATATGTCGCAATGCCCGCTGGGAGCCGAGAGTGGGTAATCTAGTTGCAGTTCCTTCTGGTATCCCATGTCTATAGGTGGTTTAAGATTCGTATATTATATATATGTGTGTGTGTTTTGTTTTTGTTTATTTTTTAAGGGGACATGATGGGATATAATGGAGAACTTTTAGTTGGATGTGCATCGCAGTTAAGGTAAGTAGTTTAAACTTTAAACATGTCCGATGCAACCTTGACGTTGCGCCGCGTCTGACTTCAGGTGGCTATGAATATAAAGTTGGTGTTATTAACCCAACCAACATATTGTTCATAGGGGGTTGCAAATGTTGATCCCTTATGAAGATAAAGTTGATGTTATTACCCCAACCAACATATTGTTCACAGGGGGTTGCGAATTTTGATCCCTTGTCGAAATAAAGTTGATGTTATTACCCCAACCAACATATTGTTCAGAGGGGGCGGCGATTTTTAATGTGATGATGCTCATGATGTGATGATGATGATGATGATGATGATGATGATGATGGCGATGATGTGGTGATGTGATGATGATGATGATGATGATGATGATGGTGATCATCATCATCAACAACAACATCATGACGATTGTAAGTGTGGAGCAACGTCCGGGTTGGGGCGAACATGTCGATAACCCGCCTGCCCTGTCTATCTATCGATCGATCTATCTATCTATCTATCGATCTATCTATCTTACTTATCTAAATGTCTGTCTATCTATCTAATCTAATCTAATCTAAATTTCATCTTTTTTAATCTAATCTAATCTGATCTAATCTAATCTAATCTATCTGATCTGATCTAATCTAATCTAGTCTATTCTAATCTAATCTAATCTATCTAATCTAATCTAATCTAATCTAATATAATCTATCTATCTATCTATCTGTCTATCAATCTATCTATCTATCTATCTATAGTCACTGGGTTTGTTCCATTTTTAAGTTGGTTTCAATATTGTTGGGGCCCACTTACTAACTGAGACGCAACCCCCAAGTCCTAATGTGTTTTTGTTTTTATACCTGGAGGATCATCTTATTTTATTAAGTAGTTTCGCCAGACAAATGACACGTTCTGGCAAAACGACATATTTTATACCTAACTATATCACTGTAAGCATAGGAATAAACAAGGATGCAGTATCGAATAAACACCATGTATTTACATCTATATCTAACTATATATATATATCAATAATATATATATATATATAATTATCAATATATATATAATTATCAATATATATATAATTGTCAATATATATATATATATCAATATATATATATATATGCATACAATTATGTATGTATACATGCAATTATATATATATGTGAATATGTAAATATCTATGCATATATGGGGGTGTTCCAGGTTTGGTAGCCCCATGTGGAACAACAAGACAATTTTATAAACCATCGGGTTTGTTTTCCGACTTTACTGCCCTGCAGAACCTAAATATGTAAGATAGTCCCGTGATAGAGGTTGATATAAGACATGCATACATGGCAAATTATGTTTTAACGAATTTCCATCTATGTATATATATATATACATAAAGTCCATATTATATATGTCATCCCATTTTTCATCCCATGTGGGGATCTTCCAACCGGGTGTGTCTATGCCTTGTCGCCAGCAAGGTCCATGAAAAAACACTTCCTCAAGGGCGGTGACTATCACTCGGAGGCGCCCCAGCGGCTTTCCGGATTGGCGCCAGGAATGTGCTGTTGGCCTGGGATGGCTATGGGGGGGGCCTTGTTTATGGGAATATCATTGGGATATAAAGGGGGTTATTTATCAATATATCCCAATTGTATGGTGTTTATTGTTTATATGAAATATTATGAATGGTGTTATCAATGTTGATACATATTTTTTTACCATTATATTTTAAATATCATAATTATATGGTGTTTATATGAATATAATGGGAAACATATCCCGATGGTACCCAATGATTTATAGATTATATGGGTGTATAATGGGTGGTTGTTTCTTTTACCATGTGCGATGGTCAAGTTGCACTGTTTATTGTCTCATACAAGATGCAGGTAATTTTACCATAAACCGGGGATTGCAGTAACGTTACAAGGAATCCCATTCATGAGGGTGGAATGACAATCGCCCGCACAGCCAGCAAGGCCATCCGATGTTGGTCATTTTGGATGGTGACCATGTTTTGGCTGGTGATCATGTGTTATAAGTTGACAAGTTTTCTTGGGATGTGTTTTTCCGATCCAAAAACAGAACATGAGTTTGACATAGTTTTTTACTTAAAAATTGGCTTCACGCCAAAGAATTCGCGGCAGTTCTGCGGCCCTCCAGCCCAGGTGGCGGCAGATATGTACCCTTACATCAAAGAGGCGGCATTGCCAGTTTGTTTGTTGGCTTGCGATATTGGCTTATGGCTTAATGGCTTATGAGAAAATGTGATTTTAACCAACAAAAAGTGTTGTTGAATTATGTTTAATTAACCTTTTTGAACCGTTTGGAGCATCCTGAAATACAGATATATGACCCATACATGCCACTACAATCTTTCATAACCCATACCATGACTGGGACTCCAAAATGAGCAGATCCAATACCCAGGGATTCGTTTGGGTGTAAAGCTAGGGAGATGTTTCATTTTTTCCCACCTGCCAGGTAACGGTCTCTGGATCTTATTAGAGTTGCCTTCTCCTTCCCCGCGAGCTCCAGGGCTCAGTGGGCTGCCGGATTTCAATTGCGGGTGCCAGATCTCATTGGATGCTGGATATGTCAGGATAGATGCCAGATAGAATGCCATAATGGAGACCTGAATAGTTGCCAGATAGAATGCCAGAATAGATGCCAGAAAGAATACCAAAAAGAATGTCAGATAGAATGCCAGCGTATATGCCAGAAAGAATGTCAGATAACATGTATTTTTTCTGCCATAAATGCTTCCAGATGGTATGGCAGAAACTATGTCAGAATAGTGGGTTCGGGATCACTCGAAGAAAGTAGTTGTTGCTATAATTGGGATGTACGCGAACCAGCTTCAAAACCATGACTGTTTTGAGGCAGGGGAGGTGCATTGGGTGGAAGGCATTGCTAAGGAAGAACATTGAAGAAACATCCCACCAAATATTGATCGAAGTCACTGTAGAAGGAGAGAGAGAGAAAGAGAGAGAGAGAGAGATAGATATTTATAGATAGATAGATAGATAGATAGATATATATATATATATTATATATATATCTGTGCGCGTGTTCACAGATTCTGACAGATATATACAGTGCGACAAGAGCGTGCAGGGCTGCCAATCAATTATGCAAGGATTTAGGCGTGTACCTCAATACCAGCAGCTAGATGTATTCTTTTAGCAGGTTGAGTCTTTGTTACAGGCATTTTTTTAACATAGGACAACAGTCACAGGTATGTCACAGGTATTTGGATACTTTAGTGTTTCAATCTTGGGACAATGTCTGTTGGGTTATTAACCGATATTGTAGGGTATCTAAGACTAGCCATTTTATATTTGTCCAATCATATATTCAGAGTCATGTCGACGTTCGTTTTATTATCTCATGGTTGATTTAAAATGTGTTGGGGGAATGCATCAGTGGAAGTGTATGAGATGTCAGGTGGCAGCAGAGTCTTGATTTTCGCTGCTCATCTTACGTGAGGAAGATGCAGGACCAAGACTTGCGTTGTATTCGTCATCTTTTCTCATGGAGCTCCCTGGGCCATCGACCCCACCATCTCCAAGCAGACCTCTGCGTCTCCGGTGGACGGAGGTCATGATGATGATGGCCCCAACTACGGTTGTAATTATATATGGATAGAAAGCTGTGAGTTGTGGGCCCTTGCGTGGCTTGGTACAAAAACTGGTAGCTTTGGCCAGTTGGCAGGTTCCGCATAGGACCGTGCAGCATTTTTAAGGTGACCAATTTGATCGGCACTGCGTCTTCATTTGAATGTACATATATATACATATATATATATATATATATATATTTCGCATTCAATATATCTATCTTTATATGTCACATATTTATATTTATATATGTCACATGTATTTGCATTTTATGTCATATATATATATATAGATTTGTTTCTTGGTGCTGTTCATTGGCAAAGTCGATTAGTCTCTTCCGGAGGAGTACTGCACCCCTAGATAGGCAAATGTCATACCAGGTTCTTCTTAAAAAAACAGCCATGCTGTCACAGTCTTTGCAAAGAAACTTACCTGCCCCCTATCCCCCCGATTCAAATGTTGTCACATCGCTTTGCTTGGAAGGGCCTCCAACAAAAAAAACAGCCATTTAGGTTCGGATGCCGGCAAGCATGGGTCATTGATCAAGGGGGCACGGGGGGATCATGACAACATGTAGGAGGATGGTTGTTTTTTGAAGAACCCGGTATGTTATGTATCTGTATGTATTTACATATCCAGCAAAAGTCAAAGAGCCATTGAAGTCACTAAGAAAACAACCGACACAAGCTTCGCATAAATGTCCATAAAGTGATTGTCTAATTCATCCAGATTAATATCACATTATTCCAATACTATCACGTTATTTATCCATGAATCAACCATCAATCGCCTTTCTTGTTATTTTTGTTGCCCTAGTAAATCCATGTCTTTGTGGGTCTTAGATTGAAATCAACCACCATTTCTAGCTTCAATCCGAAGTTTTCTTGCATTGGGGTATCTCCAAATATCAGATCTACTTATATAAACAATAGACACTATCAAATCACCATGCTTGTTTGTGTTTTTTCAACTCTATCTTGGGCTTGACGTTGGGTCTGCCCGCAGGCCATCCTTCGTGGTGAGGTGAGCACCAAGAACGATGCGGGTCCCGATTTGCCCAGCGTCAAGTCGGGGGGCCTAGAGAGAATTGGGCGAGAAATGTCATTCAATGGGCAATAGGTATGATAAATTATATAAATTTAATTTACCATAGTGTAAGGTAATATAATGTATGTGTTTAATGTAATTACATGTGGGTAATAATATATGGAATAATATCATTCATATTTCGTGTCAAGGATTCTATGGATATATATATATATATAACCATGGGTGTGTTTAAGGATCCTGTTTACTTCACCAATCGGAAATAAACCCAACCTTTTGAGAATACGTTTCGATTTTTCATGGTTTCTCAAGGAAATCCAACTATATTTCGTGGGCAGAAATCCCCAGAAATCCCCAAATTATTCAGAACCCATGATTAGTTTTGGAAGTTTCACTATTGCGGCAAGAAATGTTGGCAGGCAATGTTATTGTCAAAAAAACATATTTGTGTGAAAAGAAACTTATATAACATGTTTTTCTGGAAACAATATTGTTTGTCGGCCTTTCCCAAAGAATCAGATCGCTTATTAAACCCTCGTTGAAGAATAGTTTTTCCACAACATTCCACGGCGCTGGCCATGAGAGGTCCCAGTTCACTTTAGTAGGTTTGTTCCAAGGTCCCACGCCTCAAAATTGCGGCAAACTTGTCCAGAGCTGATCCAAGAGCCAAGAGAAGAAAGGCATGCCTTTTACACAAGCAACCTTCTCTTTTTTTTTTTGTTTTCTCTTTATCTTTCTCTTTCTTTTTTCTCTTATTGTTTGTTTTTATACCTTTAATATTTGATTTAGACAAATTGAGGTGCAAAAGGTAACGCAATCAACCAATCAACATGCTGAAACGCACCCGCTACAAAGTACTACCAGTACTACAAGTACTACAAGTTGGCCGGACAAAAACAGATTCAACTTCCTTAACCCGTCCGCGGCCAAGGAAGAGGCAATCTCAACTTACTCAGCAGTGACCCGATGACAAATCATTGGATTTCAATTGTCGCCAATTAAAACTTTCACTTACATGTATGATTGTATTTTATCTAAGGAACAACTCAAAAAAAAAACAACTTTACAGAGGGTATAGCATTTGTTTGAGGGGCCCGGGGGCACACAAATCAGGACGTAACATTATTATATACTTTGTGTTTGTTAAAAACCATAGTGTGAAATGATTATCATATTGGATTTAGATGTATGCATATATATATAGAGAGAGAGAGGTATGGTGTATAGTGTATTATATTTGGAGGAATTTGATCATGACCGCACGTCGTGACGTCATTGGGATGGTGAATCTGTTGGGGAATCATCCTCTGTTGGCGAGCGCTAGTTATAAAGGTTCCAAAGCCGGCACGAATCAAATGCAAAATAACGGGAATGATATACATGAAAAAAAAGAGATTTGAAAGTGAAAGGTCGATCATTCGGGGGAAAAGGGCGGGGTGATGGGGAGTAAATTTACAATCTATTCATGTGTTGCCTTGCATCTATATATATATATATCATGCATACACATAAACAAAAATAAACAAACCCGAAATCTCATGCGTTACAGGGCAGCTAAGGTTGGCCATGATTTGGTGGAACATCATATTACTGATACTGTAGTAGTGGAAATTCAATCATATGGAGGCTTAGAGATAATCAAATAAATGAAGGCCGCGGGGAATTCGAAAGTGGCCATATCCAGTACAAACATCTCTCCCGGACGGCGGTTCTTGCGTGGTCTTACTTTGTCGGTCCCTTAATCTTTGTGTCGAGTAAAAGGAATATATCTGGCGAAATCATGCAAAATCACAAAGACATCATTGTAAATAATGGCCAGTAGGGGTAGTGAACCCTTGGTTTTTTGTTCCTCTAGTGCAAGACCAGACCAGGTTTGCCAACCTGGTTAGTTAAGACAGCTTCGGACTCAGATGACTTGTCCGGAGTTTCTGAATGGGTTGAAGAAAGACTGTCACAGTTGGAGCATGGCTGCGGCTTCATCAACCTTGGATATTATGGTTTATGGTTGCTTTCTGGACCCTTTTCTGAGGGAATATGATTGGCTTATGTTTTGGGGAGTTAAGTACCTTCTGAGGATGTATTTGGAGACCTGGGTTTGGTTGTAATTGGTAGAGCCCAGTGATGAGATATTTTAATGATAATATGCCACACGCCTTTGAGAGTGAATTTAAAACACGCACGGAGTAAAACCTGATTGAGGTTCTGCCTAAACCTCATTTTTTGATAGGCAAACTCAGCAGTGTTGGGTACATGGCCAGCCTGCCTGCACGATATATGTGCAAACCCCCGAAACCACGTAGATATTCTGAATATTTTGGATGGACCACCTATTGCGAGGTCTATGTTTCCACAAGAGCGCAAAGCTGCGAAAGCTGTGAATTTCGGTGATCCCTGCCACTTTGGAGTTGGGGTGGGTTGGGCCCGTGTGGGTTGGACCCGCACTTTCACATTTTTCACACAATTTGACTTGAACGTTTGACGTCAAATCTGGTTAAACGCCTCCACCTGGATTTGTTTAGTTTATGTTTTTTTTGCCATTGCTTAAGCCCCTACGATTTAAGGGGAATCTACTGCGACTATGTTTGTTTTGTGTCCCCGGACCCCGTGGATTCCAACTTGGCTATCAGTGAAACTCACCAGCGCACGATGATCATCGATGATCATCGATGATCCGGGCAGATAGGATGCCCAGGGCACATCTCCTATTCAACATCCGGTAACCTCTAGAAGTATGATTTGTGTATCTGTTTATAACTGGAATGGCACTTCCAAGTAGACAAGTTCCGCTGATCACCAATATTTTCCCATTTATTCTTATGAGTTGTGTAAACCAAGTTGTTTGGCTCGCCATACCACCAATTCCACACGGGTTTGTTCTCATTGTTTCCCATGAAAATAGCAAGAATGAGGGGTATATCATGGTATATCCCATGTTGGAGGTACATCCATGCATGTATTGTTGGTTACGTCCCATCATCTTCTCATCATATTCCCATGATTTGTCCATTTGAAACGCCAATAAGATGGTTGGCATTATGCCCTGTGACGGGTTTGTTGGAAAATAAGATACCACCAAATGTGACGGTTTCTCAGTGTTCATCAGACATCATAGTTTTCCCGAGTTTACTATCATGTTGCTGCTAAATTTTAAGTTTGGTTCCATATTCCATCCTCCAGTTTTAGACGACTTTCCACGAAACATGGCCATGTTATCCATGTGGCGTTTCTATGTTTTTACTTTTTACCGAGAATACTGGGCCACGTAGAATCTGTTTTATTGGTGTATTTTGATGATGTTCCCATTGAAACTTCCATTTGCAAGATTTCCCAGACAGGTTTGATGACACCGGAGCGTAGGGCCACTCACATGATGGCCCTACAATCCATGATCAGCCTAGTTTCCCAGTCTGGTGTGAATATTCAGTGGTTTTGAATGGACATGTCATATCTACTCGAAAGGGTGGTTTGCTATTAACAAATGCAAGAAAAACGCAGTAAGGAATAGTCCATATTTTACAATTAGTCCATGCTTTACTAAGATTGCACTTATTTACTTTGCCATATCATCATCAGCATGATCCTTTTTCTGTATGGTCAAAAAATCCATAACAGAACTAATAATCCAGTGAAACATATACCTGTTATATTGATGGTAATACTCTTTACTATTCCAGTTAGATGTCCCTTTCCGTCAGCTCCCGTCAGCTCCCGTCAGCTCCCGTCAGCTCCCATTTAGAAGCGTGGACGTCATGCGCCAGGCATTGTGTATGGGGCACAGGCACAGTCCTTAGCGGAGGACTTGACCCTTGGCGCCGTGCGTTTCCGGGAGACATCGGTTTGTGCAGCATCAAATTTGGATGTTAAACCACCAAGATGGTAAACATATATTCAATTTGATATGTTTTGAAATATGATCAAAAGGAAGTTTAGTAGTCTAAACTCCGTGATATGGACAGTGAAAATGTGGAGTTGTTGTTGTAGTAGTAGTAGTGGTAGTAGTAGTAGTAGTAGCAGTAGTAGTAGTAGTAGCAGTAGTAGTAGCAGTAGTAGTAGTAGCAGTAGTAGTAGTAGTAGCAGGAGTAGTAGTAGTAGTAGTAGCAGTAGCAGGAGTAGGAGTAGTAGTAGTAGTAGTAGTAGTAATCGTTGTATAGTCGTAGGGAGTTGTAGAGTGGTAGAGTCGTATCTATAGAGTAGTAGAATCGTATCTATAGAGTCGTAGAGTTTTAGAGCCATAGAATCGTATAGAGTCGTAGGGTCAGAGTCTAGCATAAACCACCATTTGGATCTCACGATGTGTTTAATTTCCCTTGTGCTTGTTGGTTATAGTTACATTTCCACCCATTGGAAGTTTTAACCAGTAGCATTTCTAAAAACATCCATGGCATCGGAAAAACCAATGATTTCGCATTAACCATTTAGCGTAATATAGAAAAAGCATGTTGGAAAAACGGGAACAGCGATGGTTTCGCTCGATCCTCAGGAACATCAGCGAAGATGCAGCCGTGGAGTTGATGGAGGCCGGGGGATGGACATGGACATGTTTGGTGAGAAATGGGTGACTTAACAAATGGTGATATAACACCCATTTCTTATCAAATGGTTTATTATATGGTTTCACAAATGTTGATAACAATTGGGGTTTCAAATAGTTTATTATTAATATATGGGTGACTTAACATTAGCAAATGGTGATAATAATGGGGTTCTCCTAATAGCTGTTTAATATAGTTAATAATCCATATTGTTAATGTTTATCAGTTTTAACAACCATTATATATTATATATTTTTGTATGATTTAATGATATTTAATGGTGATAATAATGGGGTTGAGATTAAAAGTCACTATCATAACTATAATATACTAAAATGGGATACACATAATCGGCTTTCTAAGTGGTTCTCAATGGGATAATAGTGGTGCAACCGTGTTTTTTACGCCAGACTTGTTTGTTTGTCTACACGACGGTATGTAAAATTGTTGGGGTGTAGCCTTGTAGCTGCTGATGATTTGGATGGACAAGGAGAACAAGCTCTGCAAGAGGGCCTCGGATAGGTGGACTGGTTGTTTGACGGGATAGCGGCGCTGATGTGTGGACTAGGTAGACTAAACTGCGAGATCGACAAGAACTGCAAAAGACTGGTCCGGAAGAGGTGGCCGGGCGTGCTTGAGCTGGGAGACATCACAAGTGTCAACTATGACATTGACTTCGCGTTGCCTTAGCGTTGAAACGGAAAACTGTCAAGTTTTCTTTGCAGTCATTGCTTGGGCTCAAGGATGCGCATAGTGAAGGCAGCATCACCACAAGGTTTCAAGCAAGCCCAAACTATCACAATCGAAAGAGATTTTTTTGTGGCCCAATTGAGAGCAAGAAGCACCTAACGTCTTTGTTTGTTGTGAGAAGGAACTGATCTTATGGTGGAGTTTACCTTCTATGGTAAGCCAACATAGCTATGGATAATCACTCATGGTAGATGTCCAGGGAACCCATGGGTTCCGCTATAGTGGGATGACCCCCGGACTTGTACAACGGCGAGCAACCGGTTTCACGACCCATTCCATCAATTTTGCATCGTCGAATGCACCGTGTATGTATAAAAGGCTTAGGTCCCAGATGTGTAGTGAAATACAATGAAATACAGATATCCCGGTTGGAATACCTATGTGAGTAGTAAACCTAGCTGGGGTATGTGTAGTGAATCACTTTATGTACATCCCGGTTGTTGCTGGGATATCTGTAAGATTCACCATGATTTCAGCCATTTGAAAACACGTCACAGTCGTCACATCATCCACCGGAGCCGCGGCAAAGGCATGGTTTAAGAACAAGAAGGCTGTTCGGAGGCGTGGATTTTGAGTGGCCCAGTTAATGGATTTGGTACCTGGCACAAAATACCAGAAAACCACCTAAATTTGATAGGTTTATCATACATTTCCCTGAAAAATCCCGAACAATTGCCAGTTTAGAGGTATAGGGTATACCCCCTTTTCAGATGGTTCCAAGGCTGTTTCGAGAAACCAGGGATTGCCGAGGTTTGGGAATGCTGGGGTTTGAGGTGGTTCGCATCGGCCGGGTAGAAACCCAAAAAAATGACATGGGACATATCAACTTAAACTGGGTATGGTTGATGAAAGCCGCTAGATACCACAATGGTTTCTAGTGACTTTCAGCGGCCAGGTTGGATTGTGTCTTTCTCCGTAGGTAGTTATGCACATGTTTGCACCCTTCGAGAGGGTCATGAGCAAGGGATGGTTCTTATTCAGGGGATGTGGTTGGTTCCCGAAGGAATCAAATTACAAAAACATCAGTGATCCATTCAGAAACCTCAAAAGGCAGGTAATTACAAACCGTATTTCAGGCATTTTCAGGCTATATTTTGGAGGGTATTCCCTTACATAGGCTCTACATAGATCTTACGTGTGAAAGGGACCCTCAAACGAAAAAACGGTTCCGATAGCCAAGAAACACCTGTTTGAACCAATATGGAATCCATATGGGTGAAGCAGCTCGATGGTTATGTAGTTCTATCATGTCCTATGCTTTCTTTATCTCGATGTTTTGCCTTTTAAAAGGATGATTTCCACAGCTATGTGGATAATCATATATTCACATTATCGTTTGCGACAGATGGATATCAACGGGAGCCGTATGAGATGGCGATAGGGAGAGAGAGAGAGAGAGACAGAGAGAGACAGAGAGAGATAAAGAAAAAAATGTATTTGTGATTCCATGTGATTCCTATGATTAGTTAATTATATGTTCTGGCATTTCCGGATCCAGGGAATGCATTTGCCCATCACCCAAGTCTCAGGGGAGTTGAAGCCACCAGACAGTCACTATGTTTGGAGAATGTATTATTTTCCTTGGTGGGTTAAAGGTTATAAATATACGGTAACGACATTAAAATATGTGGAGGGCGGGCCAGACCGCAAGGCCCCGGAGGTAGTATGAAATACCAGTTCGTATATTTAAATGTAGTTGCCGTATGTTTAAATGAATTGGATTCCGTATGTTTATATAAATGGCTGGGCGGGCCAAGGAAAACCTTCCCGGAGGTAGTCTAAAATACCTGCTCGTATATTTAAAAACCCTAACTTATATTTAAATGTGTTACCGTAAGTATATAAGTTATATATCCCGATTTTTTTGTGTCAACATCTTTTTTTTTGCCGGTGAACCAGCACCTTTTTATGGGTTCACCATCGCAAAGCTGCAGGTGGCTGGACGATGTGAAGGCTCAAAGTTCGATGGAGGGGATCCTGGGATGCAACACTTGTGATTTTTGTTGGTTGATTTACCCATTGAAAATGGTGATTAATCATACTGTGGATGGTTGCGAAATCTTGCACCACCTGGGATGGTAGGAAGCTTTTAAATGATGGGATATACCACCTATTAACTGGTGCAGGATTTCTTCCATCCACAGTATCACTATATGGTTCATAATAGTCATAGTGACTGGTGATGATTATTATTATTGATGATGACGAAGATGATGATTAGTGATGGTTGGTGGTTTGGAACATGTTTTATTTTTCCATTTGGTTGGGAATAATAATCCGAGCTGACTCTCATATTTTTCAGAGGGGCTGAAACCACCAACCAGTTATGAATTATAGCACCCCCCCCCAGCCCTAGAAAATTTGGACACGTTGGAAATATGAGGTCCATATATGTAAATATATCCTTTACCAACTTGGAAACACTCTTCTGTTTTTTTTTGGAGGTTACTATAACATGGAATCCAATATTATGCTGTTATCCATGTGCGGAAAACCATCTTTCAGGCCCCAGAAGATCTGGGCGAATGAGTTCACACTAGTATAACTGGGAGGGTCATTGCATCACTGCGTGGTGGTTCAAAGTTGCCGCTCTACTGATGGGCGGATTGAAATAGATGTGTTTTAAGTTTACGTTACTGTTACATTGTCTTTCTGTTATATTCAAGATTGGAATATGCATATTGTCAATTGTGGTATGTCATTGGAAATGTGTGTGCATACATACATGTGTGTATATATATATAGCGTTAGTTGTGGCATTCTGGCCAGTCAATATTTGAAATAGTTATGTTTTTTTCAATTTTCAATGACTCATAACTAGTTATACATTTACATACATATAGTTGTTTATGGTTGAAACTCCTAATGGGTTCACAGAATCATGGATGATCGTGGGTTTCCAGGTCCCGCCTGAGTGGATGTTTATTCCTCTCTCCCGACCCAAAAGAACCCATGTTGGGTAAGAACTCCTTCCCCAAGCAAAGTACATGTCGATTTTGTGTGATGACTTAGTGACTTAGTGTCTTAATGTTTTGCATTTTTCGTTGATGGAGAAAGTGTGTTATATCCCTATGGGAGGTTTGAAAGCATTACAGAGGATCATCGCAGTTACTACATCACATGCCGCACTTAAAAATTGGGATGATCCACCTAGAAATAGAAATCCAGGATTAATCAGATGAGACAAAAAAATATCAATTATAGGGACTCCGCAAAATAGTTACTTAGTTGGAGTTCAAGGAGAGCGCCGCCGTCTAGGGCATGCAAACGCGGGCCCAGCTCCAACAAATCCCGCCGCACGTATATCGGAACGCAGTGTGAGCCCACGGGAGCCAGGACAAAGGCCAGCAGGAAGCACAACAGTTGATGCGCACAATGCAGGGCCAGCAAACACCATTACGCGGGCGGAACGTGCATGTTTGTCCTCCGAGGTGATGCGGCGACATTTGCGGGTGCAGACAGACAACGCGGCGGAGTGTGAGAGCCGCAGGGCTCTTGCACTCCTCCGACGCGAAGTCGCATGCCTCTCGGACATGCTGTGGCTGTGCGCCGTGGCATGTCTTAATGTGCTGTGCGTATGAACCGACTTTTTGGACATTCGGCGTTTGCACCCTCTTTGCCAGGACGCACTTTGCCCCACATAGCCATTTAGATAGGGATAGTGATGATTAACCAGTGGGGTTCGGGGTACCCAATTTGGAGAATCCCACGTATCAATCAAATATAGAAACACCCGAAAAGTTGTCGAAGAGTGAACTATCACTAATTTAGATTCGGATTTTACTTGTCGGCATCTTTTTGGGGATGCCATGGGATTATCATAGTAAGATTATGAATCAATGGACATATAATTGGATGGATTACCATATCTGATCATTATTTATATCAATCCATGGGGTTACGATATCTATAAACATCATCAATGGTCCCTCTCCCAATTTCCAAATCGCCTATCGTCAGCATCCTGCTCCTGCGGATACCATGGAGGAAAAAAACAGGGTTAAAGTCATGAAAATATCATATAGGCAAGCTATTGAAAAATCCGCACTCAACAATTTCGGTTGCACTGTGTTAGTACCTAACTTAGGAAACCTCCATATATATAACCTGAAAGTTTTCGCAAGCCAGACGGTGGTGTAAGTGGTTTGTGTGAAGGGAGTTCCCAGCTTGCGGATTTATGAAGGTCATTGTACAGTGCCTTATGTTATGATCCACGCCCACGTTGACGCGCAATAGTTGCAGACAAATGTGGGATACGCCATGCACAAACAGAAATAAAAAAAAAGTCGTGCTCTCTACATAGCTAAGTTTTTTTGACAAATAACAGGTCATGGCAGATAAATTTATATAATTATAACCAAGATAGATAGATAAATAGATTAGATTAGATTAGATTAGATAAGATAAGATAAGATTAGGTTAGGTTAGGTTAGATTAGATAGATAGATAGATAAGAAAGAAAGAAAGAAAGAAAGATAGATAGATAGATAGATTGATAGATTGGTAGATTGGTGGGTTGGTAGATTGGTAGATTGATAGATTGATAGATAGATCGATCGATAGATAGATAGATAGATGAGATAGATAGATCGATAGATAGATAAACAGACAGACAGATAGGTAGATAGATACATAATCTAGCTAGATAGACAGACAGATAGATAGACAGATAGATAGACAGACAGACATAATTAGATATAATTAGATTTAATTTGTTAAATTAATCAATCGATATAGGGCCGGGAGGGCACCACCTTGTCCATCGCCATGGCCCCATGGCATATCTCGTGGCCGAGGAAATCTCGATCTTTGCTGGGAAAACATCGGCACTTGCCCCTTGGACCGTTGTTGTTTGGCTCACGGGTCACGGTGTGATTTGGCTTGATGGTCGCCTGGGGTGACTGACATGTATCGCCATACTGGTATGGGTCGACGGCCGACGTTGGGTTTAAACAAAAGAGCAAGGCCCCACAATTGCACACGTAACTTTAATATGTCCCGTTTTTTGTTTTACTGTATACTATACCGCTTTGGGGGAGCTTAGAGTTCTGACCCTTCTGGCCACACAAATCCGCAGCCATGAGGCATTGGAATGCGTTGCCACTGTTGTGTTCGCTTCTGCTGCCCTTTGCCTTGTGCCGTGCGGCTAAAACAAAGCAAAGAATTGAAGGAACTCACATTATATCACGCATCCATCTGTGACCTCAGATTCTTGATCAGATATGGCAATCCATTTTAGGAAGAAAAAGTTGATGATGATGATTGATGATGCTTGCTGCTTGATATGTTTTAGATGCGCTGACAGATGCTCCGGCAGCTCGCAGATATTTCGGTTGGTTGGCAAATGTTCAGAGTTCCAAACCAGCTCACGAGATGACTTGGCTATAGATTTGTTCAACTCGTTATTGTTTGTCGTGTTCAGCATGCAAGCACTTGCAAACATTTCGTTGTACCAAAAAACTTGTTTCATACTTTTGCTGGTGTCATCAATTTGGTTTGATATGTTCCGTCGTGTTTCAATATTCACTGGGATTCGTTGACAGGAAAATCTACAAGAACCCAGGGTTTTCCCAATCAAGTGTAGAGGTTTCCTGATTTTTGTTTCCCTTCAACCAATCCCATGAATTGTGGCTTGCCCATTGGCGGCATGGTTTCAAACCTTGCAACGAAATATCGTTTTGCCCTTTGTCCCAGGCCTTTGCTGAAGGAGGATATGCCATTTTGGCCCCTTGGCCATTCTCGGTTTTCTTCACTCAGTGGTCATTTTTGGCCCAGGACATTTACATATATCATATTATTGAATAATAATGGAAATGTCGTGCACTATCATATGTAATACATGTGTCATATGTGAGTTATATATATATACATATATATATACATATATATATATACATATATATATATAATGATACAACACATAGCATTGTTCCAGATGTTCCTCCACGCATGGTGTCTTTGCAATCGTTGTTTTCCTGTAAACCTGACAGTCCCCGCCACAAGTATCCTCAAAGAAACAATAAGACTTTGCGGGAAGGTACCCGCGGTCATGTTCGTTGGCTTATAACCTCATTCAACTATGTAATTTCCAGAAGTTAATCTTAGTTTTTGGAGTCATAAACCCACTTACCTATCTTCGGGTTGCGACATTGGACGCCCTCTGAATCCAAATACTTCCTGAGAAGGTACTGAGCCACCCAAATCACAGGGATGGGTATCACTCATATATCAACTCCCCTCAACCCCACTAATTGCTGCTTACCATTTTTTACTTTTTCAAGAAAAAAATGTGTCCAGGTTATACCGTGTAGACTTCAGCCACCAAGTCAAACATCATAATTCTGGATCACTCGCATTTTGAGTAAACAATGCTTGCACCCAAAGTTATTAATTTATTTTGATTTTGACAATGTTCCTGGACACCAAGTTCGCCTGTTGTGATTGATCTCCCGGATCATCCAAGGTTGCAAAAGCGTCCCTCAACCGCAGCTGGGGGTTGGTACCTTCATATATTGTTACCCTCTGGTAAACATACAAAAAGCTATTGAAAATGGCCATAGAAATAGTGGATTTACCAATTAAAAATGGTGATTTTCCATAGTTACGTTAGTTTACCAGAGGGTACCGTTTAGGGACCACCAACAATCAGTACTTGGTGATCTTCCAACTTTGTAACTAATGGGTGGGCGGTGGGCATGACTATTGGCAGCGTTAAGTAAGGATACGCGAGATGACGGGTTTCAATATCTTTATATATAATATTTGTTAAATGACAGTTAGGGTTGCCAAAAACACAGCCATCAAGGTGCTCAAATGAGTACAGTGCACTGTGCTAATTTAACACTTTGCTTCGAATCACCTTTTCAAAAATAAATCATCGAACTAAATCGGCAGTTTTCCGCAGTTATGTGCAATTATTTGATTTTATTACATGATGGTATTCAACATGTAAAGATGCTCAGGGACTCCTACCCCCCCCCAAAAAAAAAGCGCCGGTCCAGCTACGGACCGGCATGGGGATATCACCAGCAAAAAGGTTTTATTCGGTCATGAAATGGTAAGAAATAAAGTTGCTGGATGGTTTCAGAATGTATCAGACTGGATAATTTTTATTCCCATGTGTTTGTTGATTAAACCTCCCTCCGAATGGATTTAAGCTGCAAGAGAATTCATACCCCTGGATTGGTTACATTCAAGGGGGTTCCCTCCAGTTACAAGTTCTTTTGTAAACCCGTTGAACTAATATCTCTAGCAGTCTAGCACACACCTCACTCAACCTACTTACAATTCAACTTACTGAGCTAATCAGCGGCCACCACCAGTTATTTCCAATATTTGATCAATAAAAGCATCCCCAAAGAGATATATATATATATTATATATATATGTGTGTTTTACATATATATATATATATATATATTACTTTGTTCATTTCTTTGTTTACTTATTTATGATTCTATTTGTTTATTGATTGATTACATATTTTTGAATATATGTGCAGTATATTCTTGCATGTGAACCATCCCCTTGGGATTGGTCACCGCGCAAGTGTGACTGTTGATGACGCCCAAGTCTCTCTTGTTCAGACTCCATCTGTTCAAAGCAAGGCTTCAGTTGACCCACCTGGAAAACTGATAAAAACTGCGCCAAAGATGGCTCAACCACCAAAGCATCCCTGCAGGCAGTGAGCGCGCTGCCGTGAACTTTGTCATTCAGGGTTCTGGCGCCGATTTGGTGACAGTCACGTGGTTCAGCCGGGCTTTGGGACAACGGCTGAAAAAAGAGGACTGACAAAAATTAAATCCGTCCTCCAAATACCAGCATCAGCTACAATATCTGGTTGGTGATTTGGAACATGTTTTATTTTCCCCAATAGTTGGGATGATGATCCAATCTGACGAACTCCATCATTTTTCAGGGGGGTAGGTCAACCACCAATTAGATATTGCAATTCCCGTTTGAAATCATTGCATTAGCACTGGATTCGTTTATGCTGAGACCCCGTTGCAGGGAATTTCAGATTATGGGTGAATTCTTATGAACTGTTTTCAAAGGTATGGATATTGGACCAACAATGATTAAGCCACCCAAAACAGAAACTGCCCAAGAAGTCTTGCATCACCCGTGGATGATGGATATCCTGAGAGAACAAGACTTTCCAGCTAGCTTTCGCTGCCAGATGGTGCAAAAACATACAAAACCCATTTGACCAGCATATTGTGTGGGTATGGGGTCGCGCCTGAGCACCTCAATTTTGGCAAGTTCAACCTTTTGGGAATCATGAGGGACTTTGCTGGTGGCGCTGGAGGGAGAGAGAACGTTACAACATGTTACAACAATGACCAACAGCTGTGACCCATACCCCCAGGTACGTGAATTTTCACTTCATTGGTTCACTCGTTAAGAGCCACCGTGGGTGACCAAAATGAACATAGTCCCTGACGACAGATGCTTTCAATGGCCTTGGTTTGAGTGCTATCCGCTGATCCATAGGATTTTTGAACGCAAAAAAATGCCAAACATCAACGGATTGGTTTAAGGGAACACCCATGAAAATCTTGAGGAAACCATTGATTGTCCCATGAACCATAAGGCTTTCCTGTAAGATTTCCTTCAAATCCATCCAGTGATTCATTGATTTTCCGATGATGGGAGAGTTCTTTGGTTTACTGGCTTTTTGACACAGGAAAATTGCGTTTTTCAGATTATAAAACTGATTGTGAACCGATTTTACCTATTAATCATGGTGATTGTCCATAGTTTGCCAAAGCTTCGTTGAATAACCACAGAATACCTTCCACAAAGTCACGTTTCAAGGCGGCGATGTTGCAACTCGAGTCGCATCCGCGCTTGACGGAGTCACCAGGGGGTGGGATGTCTTGGGAGTTTAACGGGCAGGACGGGGGATGAGCACTGGATTTTGCATTGATGTTTGCCATAAATGGAATATATATAATATATATATATATATTCATTCATGTAGTGCATATGCATACACACACAAATATTACATTATATAGGTTTGATTAGATTAGTATTAGATTAGATTAGATTGCATTGCGTTGCATTACATTACCTTGTAATGCATTTATTTACATTACATTGTATACATTACATAAATAGCATGCAATACATACAGAACATACATAACATACATAACCAATCAAGGGTTATGAATCCGGGGTAGCAGTCTCCTGTCTAATGTCTGTCCTGAATCTAAACACCTCAGGCATCAGGCTGCGAATGGCTGAAACAACTCTTGCTGCACCTGGTGTCACTTCCGGGGTGCAGAGTGGCTGCATCGTCAAAAAAACTCATCCCCCCTACCCTGGGTGCTGGAGGCCAAACAATGGGGCACATGGCAAGGGGAAGATGCTCATAGTGCTAGTGGTCAGCATGTCACCCACTGTGAAAAATTCCTAGACTTGGATTCGGATAATAGAAGAAGTCATGCATTGAAATTTATTGATGGTGATTCTTCGAATGTTTCGCCTGCCGGTGGGCAGGGCTCCAATTTTCCCATGCCGAAATCGGCTTCTTCAATATTTGAAAGGGCTATATACCAATTTGTGGGTCAAACCGGTCAAACCTGATAGGCGCCAGCAAAACATGGTCCGGTCCTGCAACACATTTGGATAAACCATGACCTGTGACGTCGCTGTAGATGATAACTGATGATAGTTAGTAACCTAGAAGGGGGGTAGCTATGCGAGGGTCGCCAGCAAAACAAAGGAAGTTGTGGTTACATGGTTTCTTTGGTGGTATCAGGGATCCAAAGAATCCATTGATCACCATTTTTCCCCAAACAGTGTGGCCACACTGTCACTGAGGGGTTCTTGCGGTAACAGTTAAGGCCCGGTGTTCAATCGAGGTGGTATCCGTTGCGCTTGGCATTTTCCCTGTAAATTTCCATACAAAATGGCTCTTGTGAAATGTCCATGTGCATTTCGACTGCGCAGGCTCGCACAAAACGCTGGCCGCTGAGGTGTCCTCGGCCATTTTGCCTGAACATTTCCACACAAAATGGCTCTTGTGAAATGTCCATTTGCATTTCGACCGCGCAGGCTCGCACAAAACAATGTCCCCCGAGGCTCCGAGGTGTCCTCGGCCATTTTCCCTTTAAAATTTGTCACAAAATGGCTCTTGTGAAATGTCCATGTGCATTTCGACTGCGCAGGCTCGCACATCATCATCATCATCGTCATCATCATCATCATCATCATCACCATCATCACTATCATCATCATCATCATCATCATCCATCATCATTATCATCAGTACCATCACCATGATCATCATCACCATCACCATTATCATCATCATTGTCACCACCATTATCATCATCATCATCAACAACATTAACATCATCACCAACATTACAATGCATTCTCCTTTTACCAACATCGTCACCAACATTATCATCATGAGGGGTTTTAAGGATTGAACTAGTGACTAGTGGTACTGTGGATGGTTGCGAAATCATGCGCCAGTTGGTAGATGGGATTTTTTTCTAATCTCATTATTGACAACGTTGCATAAGATAATTGCTAACAGTTACCATGTGGTGCATGATTTTTTCCGTCCACAGTATGTTGGGATCCGCCACTTAATCCTGGAAGCGGGAGTTTGGAGGCATATGGTCATCAATTCATGGGGCAACTGACTTACATTCTATATACCTGCAAGGTTTGGAACATGAATGGGGCTACTTGGTGGTGAATTGTCTATTTAGTAGGTTAGTTCACCCTAAGTCATTTCAGTAGGATGAGTGCGGCTCATCCACTCGGATCAAATTGAGCTTGGTGAGTTGCTGATTCTGTTGTGTGTGTCTCTTTAGCGAGGCAACCAAAAACATACAGGAAAGAAAGTGATTCTGTTTCTTTGGAGCCGAAGCTGCTCAAAACTCGCAAAGCCCCTAGTGAATGCCAACGGCATGGAGCTCATTGCCCGATTGCTGATTAGCCTTGTGCAGGCCTTCCTCCTCGGGGCACCAGACAGGTCCCAGGCCCGGGAGCAGTTGGAGCGTTCAATAAAAGGTTGCTGTGCCGTGGTTGAAGCATTGGGCCCCAAGCCGCTCACTGGTCGCATGGGATTGTGGTGGGAGGTTGTCACAACAGTGCTCTACTTCAATGTCCTTGAGAAGAGGGGTACTATGACCTCATTCCATTTCAGTGTCCGCATGGAGCCAGGACACATCCTGTCACTTATCTCTTGGACCTGCCGTTCGTTGAAGACCTCAAAGCCGACCTCGACTTTTTTCTTGCACTGCTGCCAGAGATTGAGAGGCCTTTGGAGATTCCCGAACATGACATTGAAATGCGTTTGTGGGTTGGAGCCCTCAAGGACGACTTGCGCGATGTCATCTCATTGCCATGATCATCATCACCATCATCGCCACCAACATTGTCATCATCATCATCATCAACAACATCAGCATCATCCTCAACATCACCATCATCATCATCATCAACAACACTAACATCATCATCAACATTACAATGCATTCTCCTTTTACTTCCCCCACACTGTTTGGGGTCTCCTGCCGGGATAATATTTACATATATACATATTGTTTATTTATATTAATATATATATATGTATAATATATATTAATATATATATATATATACGGTAACGACATTTAAATATGTGGAGGGCGGGCCAGACCGCAAGGCCCCGGAGGGTAGTATGAAATACCAGTTCGTATATTTAAATGTAGTTGCAGTATGTTTAAATGAATTGGATTCCGTATGTTTATATAAATGGCTGGGCGGGCCAAGGAAAACCTTCCCGGAGGTAGTCTAAAATACCTGCTCGTATCTTTAAACACCCGTATATTTAAATGTAGTTACCGTATATATATATATATATGTAATGTGTTTTTATTTTTACTTTTTAACATGTATTCCTTTTTAGATTTGTATATATATATATTTATTTACTTTTAGTATACATTATATATATATGGTTGTATATATATATATATATACATACATTCCATCATTTCTTTGTCGAAGATTGGCCTGTCATCGCTGGCTGCAGGACTTGGGCTTTCATCTTGTCATGCAGGTGGAGATCCGATGAGGGGCCCAGTGGCTGTAACTAGGTTCCCAGTTCCTTCCCTAAGTTGGTTGAAAATATATTACATATCTATTAATTAACTGGGTTTGTATGGTTTTGTGGTGATTATACAAGTACTTAGATAGGTAACCAACTGATACTGTAACCAGGGAGGTACCAGTTTGAAGTGGATTCATGTGGGAAGCAGTGCTGAAGAATCCCTGACCAGCCAGTTGGGGGTCATTTTGCATCATCAAATACCCGATAATAAGCCTCGATTCGGGATGGTTCATATTGGTTTTCCCGGATTTCAACCCATGACAAAGTAAATTGCGGATCGCAATCTTTTGTAGCGCCTACAGCAAGTGCCTGAAATTTATAAGTAGGGTTCAACACATGTTTGGACGCTGCAATCCTGACAAAGGCTTGCTGTTCTTCATGGCCTTTGGGTGAGACATAAATGAGTTTGGACCTATCATGTCAGACCAATGTACATTCCGACTTCAAAACTCAAAGTCTTTCAGCAGTTCTATGGCTGGTATAGTGTTTCTTGGATTTTCCTGGAAGCTGGGTACTGCTAGATCCGATGACCACAGGCGAGGGCCTCTGTGAATGCGGTGACTTTGGCGGTTTGCAAAGAACCATGGTTATACCCGCGTTATTTTCAAGCAACCAGGCCTTCCACAAGGCGGTGCCCCCCGGCCTTAAAAATGTATCTAAGTATAGGCTTAGATGTGCGACCATAAACCTAAGTCAACTTACGTTTAAACCAAATAAGCTATCATTACATCAGTTTTATCCACACATTCCCGGTTTTATTATGTAAAACAAAATCATATGTTCAAAAAGAAATGGATAAAACCCAGGGTTTGTTGGTTAAATCATGTCATCCCCAATACTTTTGGTAAAACAGGCCCGTTGGCACGCCAGGTGCATGATGAGTTCGTCCTTGAAGGACCTTCAGACAAGGCTCAGGAGGCGGGGGCTAGCCCTGGATCGCTGTGGTTTTTAAGGGGGGAATAAAATTGGAGGATAAATGGTAGTTGAAAATTTATCCTCCCATTTTCCCAATGTTTTTTTGAAAATGGTAGGATAAATGGTAGTTGAAAATTTATCCTCCCATTTTCCCAATGTTTTTTTTTGAAAATGGGAGGATAAATAGTAGTTGAAAATTTATCCTCCCATTTTCCCCATGTTTTTTTTGAAAATGGGAGGATAAATGCTAGTTGAAGTGGTTTCATGGGAAAAGTCAATGGGAATGCTATTTTAATGCGATTGACAAATTGAACAAGCCAATGGAGATTGAAGAAACTAGAAATTGTGGTTTGAGCAAAACAAATAAGGATTAAACCAACAAACATTGGTGGTTTCACCAGAAAATATTGGCTTTGTTTTAGCCAACAACAATGGTTGATATGGTTGATTTATGATATATAAGTAAACTAACCATTAGAGCCAGGCTATCCGGCGCGTCAAGTTTTTTTCGGGAGTCCGTTGTGTTTGTTTCCCTGTCGTCCACAACTTCAATGAGTTCATGTGCCTAGAAGGAGGAGACCCCGAACTTGCGACTTGGCGCCTAGCGCACCGAAGATATGAAAGAAAGATTGCAAAGTTCAGACTCCTGTTTGGCAAAACAAGTCTTGGATGTTCCATGCATGGTCTCTGGTATTGGCATCACTGACGGGAAGACGTTTCTCCTTGCAGTTGATGAGCTTCGACAGAGAAAAGGGTCGTTCAGAACGTGGGGCTTCCTGTGATCTATGTCTTGGCCCTCGTCCTTAGGGCTATCCCGGAAGATGGCACTGGGCCTCTGGGTAGATGATCGGTAGATGCTCCATTTTCAGGACCTACCCTGTTTGGAACACCCGGTTTGGAAATTACCCATATAACTATTGAAACTGGTGACATTCCATAAAAACTGAGAAGTGATAACATGTCATAGCCTGGTTTTAACCATGCATTCTCCCCATATTTTGCCAGCATTTCTGTTGGTTTCCTGTTCTTTTATATGTTAGAGGCAGCCACGACGTATCGCAGCGATTATTTATAAATTTATGGGGATGTGGGGGGTCCTGCAACATTGGGCCACCAAGATAAAGTGGTTTACCAGTAAAGTAACTGTTGGAGCATGCGGGTGTGTCTGAGCATGAGGTATAAAACACTCTCCGGTGTAATCAAACGTGGCGTCTTTTGGAAAATCCAACATTCACTTGGATGATTTTCCCATGAACAGCTGCGGAGATGTACTACAGTTGAACTCATTCCTGTTAATGATTTTGTCATATGTGATATATTTCCCCATGGATTTTCCCATTTCTGATTACTCAGACGAGCCCGGCCCATTGTTTTGACCATGGCCCTTACGCAACGGATCCCGGGGAACCGCCGCGGGACGCGCAGGCGTCTGAGATTGTGAAATCGGTGATGGAGAAGCCGTTCAAGGAGCGCCTGAAACTAAGACGGTGGCAGAAACTCAGGGTTATTACCATGGGATATCTATGTTGTTTGTTCCTAAAACGATGATATTCACCCAATTATGTCAATTTTATCATTGATAGCTATAGGATAGATGAGTTTCATGAGATATCGATGTTTTTTTCCAAGTCGGCTGATCTACAAGACACCCACATTTATGTGGGGAAGTGAATTGGGATATAGGATATCTCTCATCTCTGGTATATCATTTGGGATACAAACCAACGATGAAAGCCGTAATTTGGATAGCTTCCCCAGTCAAGCTCGCCACCGCCGGCTGGCGATGAGACATGATGAGACCATCACCTGGCAGCTAGGGATTTTTTTCCCCCCAATCCGAAGGACCGGGGTTATTGTCCAATACTATATGCCCTCTAATCAAACCATGCTGGAAAAATTCTGAACATTCCCGGTTGAAGATGATTTGAACATCTAAACTGCCATTGAATTTCAGCAATATATTCCATTCATACCCTATTCGATATCCCATGATATATCTCCCCATTGGCTGGATCCATAGGGTCAAATTCTTATCCCATTACCCCCATGAATCCCATCCCCTAATATGAAACAGCCCCAAGAACCATTAATAGGGAATTTACACCTATTTGGGACCATAGAAAACCGGGGATTTACACATGGGATATTGTGGATCCCACTGGTAATTAAACACAGAAAGACACAGCGAGCTTTGGAAAGCCACTCATTTGCAGATGATTTACTATTAACGACCATGTTCAATAGTGGGGGGATGATGCGGATGGGATTAATACACATCTAATTCTCAATAATGTATTGATAATAGCCATTGTGACACTAGTCATGTCAAGTAGAAAGCTCAAAAAAAAACGTATTTGCCATAAAGCCATTGCCAATCATTGCCGATGAGCGAACAGCCAAATCACGGCATTTCTAAGTGTAAAGCTTTGCCGCAATGCCACTCCGGCGGCTCAGGAGACCATGCCGGACTTTTCAATGGTGGTGCCACTTGAGGTGGAGATCTCCGGTATTTGTGACGGTTGACACACCCGTCTTTGTTGTTTGGGATTCATGGTATTAGTTGCAAACAATTGGATGATTTAATGGGCTTCAATGGGATTTTAATAAGATGTGATGAGATTTAACAGGACTACCATGAGATTTGTTTTCTGGGAATAGTGGGATTTAATTAATCAACAAACAAAACAAGTGAACATATAGATGGATAATGATGGATATCATGAAATTTCGGTGATCATGTCGGGTGTGGTGAGCTACAGAGATTTTTTACAGCGTTCTGGGGATAGCAGCGAAGATGGGGATTTCACCAAAACTGTGAGATTTTACTATGAACAACATGGATGAAAAACTGATTTAACCAACAAAAATGCTGTTTAAACATATTTAAACCATCAAAGATGTGGCTTCAACCATGAACGTTTGGGATTCAAACCAACAAAAGGCCGATTCATCTGTCAGAATTGTTGGTATCACCAACAAACATGGTGGTATAATGGAAATCTCATGAGGATAGAATGAGATTTGACCAACACGAATGTGGATTGAGTGTTGTGAACTGATGGTTGGTTGTGGCCATTTACTGATGATTTGTTGATTCAATTGTGATTGGATGATTGGTTGATTCAATTGTGATAATTAGGAGTAATGGGGGGGGATAAAATCAACCATAAGAGTGATATAATGGACATATCAATGGGATAGCAGAGCATCTTAGTCAGCCACTTGACTAAGACTAACGATGCTGTTTGGGAAACCCAAACATGGCTACGTGGGTTTCCCCCACTATAGAAATGGGCAAATTTTGGGAGTGATTTTCAGAGGTAAACCATCATCGACGATAAGTGGATCTGCTAAGTGGATCTTAGTTCACTAGGTGAATTCCAGCGTTGATCCCCATCCCCCATAAAACATGATATCATTTGGTACCCGCGGGGTTTAAAAACCATAAAACATTTGCTAGGGAAGATTCGGCCTGGATGGGTGTTTGCTTGTGAGATATAGGCCATACGCGCAGTTGCAAGTTCGCAACCTGGCAGGTGTCCATTTCGGTCTCCGAGACGCTGGCGGGGAAGGCCTGGGATGATTGGGATGGGCGATGACCCACCTGGGACCTGTTGATGCTACATTTATGTGACATTGGACCTGTTGATATATGTTGATATACTGGGATGTTCTTAGGATTTACTTGGGATTTTATGGTGACTGAATGGGATTTAATGTGATGTTCTTGGAATTCATTCGTAGTTACAGTAATCGTATTGTATGCGATTTTTCATGGGATTTGAGGAGATTCAGTGGCAACATGATGGGACAGTGATCTGAATGTTTAAATGGATGCAGTGGGAACATGATGGGGATATACTGTCATAATTTCCACACAGTGAGCTGAGCTATGGTTGTATCCACTGGGGGCCAAAGGGCGCCGAAGACGGTCAAGTCTCAGATTTGTTTGTTATTGCCCACCGGTAAAAAACTAAATGGAGCTTTAACTAAATGGAGCTTTAATGCGAAAGTCATGTATACATGGTGGATTCTCGATTGCCATGTTTGATTTCAAGATGGTATATTCCTCGCCGCGTTTGAAAAAGCAACTGAGTATTTCTCTTTTGTTACTTGACATCACCAGGTGACTTGACACAATATGCATTTTGTCAAAATCGCCAGGCTTAAGATGACTGAAGAAAAACTAAATCGTCGTGCGGCCCTAAGGTTCAGATTATCGGCTTTGGGTGATGGGTTGAGACTGCAGCAAGCCCAAAATAGCCCACAAATATGTGATGTACTCTGTGGTAATCAAATGTGGCAATGGAAAATCCACCCATTTTAGTTCATTTTGCCATTTGGATTTATGGTACGTATAGCGGGTTTTCATGGATGTTCCATTTTCATGTTTGATTACCAGAGGGTATACACATATGTGCAATCCCTTTACCACCTTGGAAACTTTGTTTGGCATTTGATCTAGCAATTGTTGGTCCCTGTTTTTGCTGTCGATTTAATGCGGGTTTAGCTGGTAAACATATGCTACAATCCCATCTCCCTCATACTCAAATCAATAGATCCAATACAAGACCAGAGGTTTTAGGGTCAATTTAATAGTGGGGGAAGCCTAGACAGGTATGATTTTCAGCGGTACACATCACCTATAACATCCGGGTATGGTTTATTTATGTTTATTTTGTATTTTTTAGTGGTCCTTGTTTTGAGTCAGTGGTTATGCTTTTGGGGGTTACTATTTATCCCATTGAAAGTTGCGGATTTGTGGGTTGCAATCCAGATATTTACACCCTACTTTGAAATGCATAAGTGGATATAGGTCATCATGATTATAGCGCTTATCTCCCAAAAAAACATGGAGCTTAAGATACCATGGTTATACCGAGTTGTACCCAAAATTCAGTAACCTCTGGCCCCCCAAAGTACTAACATTTGGTGATTAACCAGTGAAACAATCTGAGATTTGCTTTGAACTGCCTGGATCCTCAATTTTTGATGAAGGTTTCATCATATGTGCCACTGAAAATGATTGTCTTATGGACATGCCACAGTTTCAGACACCAAAGTATCATATTAGTATCACATACTGTTGGTTATATCCCTTCATAGTTCCCTTATATCCCATAATTACCTCAGCAAATACATCAACATACATTTTAATGGGATATTTATCATAGTTCCCCTAAATATAGTTTCCCCCTTGTATCAACATACATGATCATCGTTTGATTTTTACAGGGTGCCGGGAGGGAGGGTTGAAAAACGTAGCGGCTGACTGCGGCTGACTCCGGCTGACTCCGGCTGACTCCGGCTGACTCCGGCTGACTCCAGCTGACTCCGGCTGACTCCGGCTGACTCCGGCTGGCTCCGGCTGACTCCGGCTGACTCCGGCTGACTCCGGCTGACCGGCTGGCTGCGGCTGACTCCAGCTGACCGGCTGACATCGGCTGACTCCGGCTGACCGGCTGACTCCGGCTGACCGGCTGACTCCGGCTGACTGACTCCGGCTGACTCCGGCTGACTCCGGCTGACTCCGGCTGACGGCTGACTCGGCTGACTCCGGCTGACTCCGGCTGACTCCTGCTGACTCCGGCTGACTCCGGCTGACTCCGGCTGACTCCGGCTGACTCCGGCTGACTCCGGCTGACCGGCTGACTCCGGCTGACTCCGGCTGACCGGCTGACTCCGGCTGACCGGCTGACTCCGGCTGACCGGCTGACTCCGGCTGACCATCCGACTCCGGCCGGATGACTCTGGCTGAGTCCGGCATGTAAACTTCTACTAAAGAAAGACTTGTAGATCAATTTCATACAGGCAACTTATGGTTGCACTAACGTGCTCGCATGGTTTACTTGTGTGGCGTAAGCACGATGCGAAGATAAGCGTGGCACACTGATTGCAATCAATGAAGTGTGTGACATAGTTGTGGGAGATCTATATAACTATACTGAATAATATGTAAAAACCAACTTGTAAGTGGGGAGCCTTACCTTGTAGCATCCATGTCCATGTCATGAAATCTCAATTGACCGATGGTCATAGCAGCTATTCTATTTTTAGAAGGCCATCTGAAGGAAAGCCAATGAAGGAAAACCAATCACATATCAACTGTGTGTGGGATTCCCGTGTAAAATTCGGGGGGGGACGTTGTGAAAGCAAAACGTGGGCACAATACAGAATCTATACCGTCAGTCTGCAAGGTTAAAAAGTTTAGAGGCAAAAAACCGTAAACTTGGCAATTCACTAGTGGCATTTTTGGTTAAAACATGCAAATAAATGGGAATATTGAGATGGAATCGTTTTTCCAAGAAAGATCCGCGAAAGTTTGGGTGAAATATCAAGAGCCCTGATTCAAAACAGTTTTGTTCTTTCTGGAAAAGAGCACCGGGCACAAACAAGTGGAACTCTTCACGTCCCGAAACATGCCTTTTAAAAAGGCAACAACTTCTGCCTTCAAGATGTTACATGTGTGAACTCATTTGTTAAAACATGTTGTCCACAAGAATTTGGGTTATATATTATATCAGTAAACATAGCTAAAGTCACAAAGGATGGATAAACGGACTTGTTGCTGCCAAGTGCTACGCATGACCTTACTTGAGAAGATGCTTCATGACAATTACATGTGCTTTATATACTTGTCGGCTGATCTATATAATTGCAAAAGCACTTCCCTTGAGAATGTTTTCAGTCGACTTTACTTGATCCATTTCACTGAACTTTACGTCTGGATATGTCCAATGATTTTTATCCGAACTCCAGTTCCATGGGCTTCACTTGACATTCTTTTCCACGGACTTTACTTTACTTGATATTCAATTCAAATGGAATTTACTTGACATGATATGCAATGATTTTTACCTCAGCTGATATTCAATAACCTTTACGCGAGATTGCTTTCCGTGGGCTTTACTTTTGATGGTCTTCAATGGACTTACTTGAGACACACCCCAGTTCAATTTTATTTAAGATTGCCTTAAGGGGACTTGGGACGCAATTCAACGAACTTTACTTGAGACTGCCTTCAATAAACTTTAAATGAGATTATCTCTAGTGAACTCTGTCGGAGATGATGTTCAACAAAAGACTGCGATTGTGCCGACCTTGTGCATGTCTTTGTGCTTGTGTGTCAGGTCTCGTGTATTTTCTTGCGCATACCAGACTTCATCAATGAAGACGCTGTGGATTTCACAATGAATGTGACGAAGAAATTGTGAAGTGTCGCACATAATTATTATGCACCTTTGATGTGTTTTAAATGCACAGTACTTGCATTTTTTAAAAACGTCATGTACCTTCATGTAATTTTGATAGAGTTTCATGTATTATTAGCACAATTACATGAAATCTGAAAAATTGCAGCTAAAGTGCTTATACACCGCACCGGAAGCACATAGCAATTACATAGGAAATACAGAAAAAATCGCACAAGTTTTAACTGACTTTCTTTGGTCTAAGGGTTAAAGTCCAAATTGTTGTTCTTTTAGTGGGTTTGCTGTTTAGAGGGTTAGAAGCATAAATTTCCCGCCAGACCGGAAACCATGTTCGTAAAAGCACGTGTTTCTCAAAAAATTAGTATGTGGCGAAACACACATTTCTTTCATGAAAAACATCCCAAAAAATGGATACTAAAATTTGGGCGTTTTCGCGTTTTACCACAGTAAACGCTCATTTTCATCGGATGGTTTTTGTGGAATCTGAAAAACAGCACTGTTTCGTCAGAAGATGCGTTTCAATGCTTCAATCGTCTGCTGCTGCAAAATGGCACTGCGGTTTATGTACCTCCATTGCCAAGATTTTGCGTGCAACAGTAAATCGCGGCTTTGGGAGGACAAACTGTTGGGAATGTAATTCTTTAATGCAGGCCATGCTGCATCAATAGTACCAGTAGGACAAAAAGAAGATAACAACGTAGTTGCAAGTTGTGTTACAAAAGTCAACAATGTAGTTGGAACTTGATCGAGAACATAACAACGTAGTTGCAAGTTGTGTTACTAAAGTGAACAACGTAGTTGGAACTTGATCGGGAGGAAAACAACGTATAGTTGCAAGTTCCGTCACAAGAGCCGACAACGTAGTTGCAAGTTGTCTTTAAAGAGTCGGCAAAGTAGTTGGATTTTGAAAGAGAAGATAACAACTAGTTGCAAGTTGTGTCAGAAGCGTCGACAGCGTAGTTGGAACTTGATCGAGAAGATAACAACGTAGTTGCAAGTTGTGTTACAAGAGCCGACAACATAGTTGCAATTTGAAAAGTTAGCAATGCACTTGGCAGTTGCTAGTAGAACAAACGTCAATAGCCCACCCCGCCCCACCCCACCTCATGCAAGTGGCTAGAAAGGTTAGCAACGTAGTTGGAAGTTGTTAGTAGGAAAGACGTTGATTGCCCACCCCATCATGCAAGTGGTTAGAGAAGTTAGTAACGTGGTCAAGCACGGATTCGGAAACTAAAACCATGGACTCGGAAATTAACATGCACGCGGATTCGGAAACTAAGATTCGGAAACTAAAACCGCAGATTCGGAAAGTAAGATTCGGAAACTACCAGACACGGATTCGGAAACGAGGATTCGGAACATAGAAAAAGAGGATTCGGAAACGAAGGAGGACAGGGCTTCGGAAACTGTATGATTCGGAAAATATTCGGAAACTAAAAGCGCGGATTCGGAAACTAAGATTCGGAAACTAAGAAACAAACGCGGATTCGGATTCGGAAACTAAAACATGCGGATTCGGACACAAAGATTCGGAAACTAAATCACGCGGATTCAGAAACTAAGAAACACGGATTCGGAAACTAAGCTTCGCAAACTAACAGACACGCGGATTCGGAACGGAAACTATCCGATTATCCATAGGGAGTTGGAAACCGGGAGTCGGTTACTAAAACGTTGGAAATGCGAACATAGGGGAAAGGACTGCACATGAATATTCAGATTCAAAAGCACCAGCAAAATGACTGCAGGGTTGAGTGCCACATGTATAAGAAACTCATCAGATTTGCATCCTTTTTACCAAGAAACTCATGTTCACTTCCCTCAAGTGGTGTTGGACAGCCCAAGTCAATTTGAAGATCCATGGGGTGGGAATTTTGAGATCATCATCCTTGTGGACAGTCCGAGCCACTTTGGGTTGGTGATGTTGATATCATCTTATCCCTGTGGTCAGTCCAAGTCAATTTGAAGTTCCATGGGCGTGGGAA